TTTTCGCTGTTAAGGAGAGCAAGAGATTAAGAAATAATGGTTACTAATGAAATTACATTCACATCCGTCATACTTAGTGTACGAAACGTGTAAAAGTTCTTGATTTACTGTTACCCTCAGTCATGAAATAATATAATTCTTTTAGTCATTTCATATGACACATATCGGCATTAGATTTGTTGATAACAAAAAAACTTCCACATAAGAGAAATGAATTAACTATTGTGATGTTTTGTAATTAGAGCGAAATTTGTCGAGGAAGGTTGTGCAGTGTGAGTCATAGGCCAGTACTCACAGTTATTGGTTGCTTTGATATTTTTTTAACGCCACCCAGCAATATTCCAGCTTAATATGGGGGCGGTCTGTAAATAACGAATCTGGACCAGACAATCCAGTGATCAACAGCATGAGCATCGTTCTATGCAATTGGGATACGATGACATTTGTCAACCAGGTCAGCGAGCCTGACCACCCGATCCCGTTAGTCGCCTCTTATGACAAGCATTGGTTGCTGAAGATCAATTCTAACCCTGATCTTCATGAGTCTCACAGTGAATGTCAATAACTTGAATATGCATCAACCCATACCCATTGAACATACAGATATGTAATTATGTCTAATGATATTCTATTGATCTGTTTGTCAGTTCATGGACTTATTTGATCTTTGATCAAATAACAAATGTTGCTTAAGTAAAGGATGCAATATGGAATATCTGATCAATGTTGGAACATCAAAGGAAGTGGATTTATCAGTTCAGAGAAAGGCCATGATTTACCACTACTTGTACATACACTATGACTCTGCCCGTTTATCAAACCTTACTCGCCTAACAGGTTTGTCTCATGGCGCCAGTTACCAATATTGTAAACTGTCATGTATGATAAATGGTGTTTCTGGGAATATGATGCCAGGAAGGAGCTATAGGAGTAACTTCATTACAAATTGGCTGATTAATGTGTGGATTAATTATTGCAGAATATCATCCTTAGATTGCCACCAGACATGTCTCATGTGATTGGGTTTGAAGGTAACCATGTTTTCGGAACTAATTGTTGTATGTTCCGTAACTGACTTTTAGTTTCGGAAACTAAATAATTTTAGAGAAATAAGTGGCTATGTTTACATGGGCCCCAGCAAGGTGAGAGATTCAGAACCTGTGGAAGGTCTAGACTTGCTTCATTTTGGAATATAACAGTAAGAGTGAGTATGGTTTTACGCTGCTGTTGGCAATAATATACAATAATATATCTCGTTTGGGAGGCATACCGAGTGTGTAGTCGCAAATTCGTAGTTTTCCAAACAATAACGCCAAGAATCCACACGCTTGAACAATATCAATCCTAACACTAACTGCTCGACGTGAAAGCGGAAATATAACTTTTTTTGCAAGCGAAAATGTAACTTAATGCAGGAGACAAAGAGGATAGACTAACTGTGTGAATCTAAAAAATCAATGGATGAACAAAAGATGACGTAATCAGAAGTAGACACATGACGTCATTGGAATTAACATAACTGGAAGTGACGTAAGCCAACATAAAGAGCGGGAAGAATGAACTGAAAGTAAGTGTGAATGGTTTCAATAAACGCATTGAGTGTTAAGCACTAAATGAGATTAGTTTCGGAAACTAAATAATTTTAGAGAAATAAGTGGCTATGTTTAAATGGGAAAAGAGCCCCAGCGAGGTGAGAGATTAAGAACCTGTGGAAGGTCTAGACTTGCTTCATTTTGGAATATAGCAGTAAGAGTGAGTATGGTTTTACGCTGCTGTTTGCAATATTTCGCAATATCACGGCGGGGGACACCAGCAATGGGATTCATATAGCAGTAAGAATGGGAGGAAGGGAAAATAATGTAGTTCAGAGACCATGAGAAAGGCAATAGTTGAGAGTGTGTCCTGAATGAGAAACCTGGGAGGTGTTGTTCTGGATTTGATTTTGGTTCTGTAGATAATATTTTCAAGGCAACTATCACATAGTTTGTATCAGATTTTACAGACATTTACACTATATTATTAACTATATTACTCCACATCCAGGCCTTGTTTTTATACAGTCCCTCCTGGATTCCAGGAATGACATTACAAACTCTACAAAATTCTGTTTCATTTGATAGTCAATCTTGATTCAACTTTCAATATAACTAAATTCCGCGGCAGAAAAATGACAAATTCTGTAGGTATTCTGCATGAAAATGCATTTTTCTGCATTAAAAGGTAATTTCCATGATTTATTCTGCAACCGCGGAATTGCAGAATCCAGGAGGGAGTGAAGATTTTATGCAGTATGAAGTAATTCTGTTGTTACAGGGGATGGTCTAACAACAGTGGAAGGTCAAATCCTTTGTACTGCTATAACATTGACAGGCCCATTACCATCACACAATATAAATAGTCCTAGTGTTAAGATATCTCTGTGGAACGAGCCCCTGGACATTTGGCTAGTTGTTCTTGCTCTACCTCCGGAATTCTGGATCCAGCTCTGTAGAGATGTTTGTGTGAGATGATCTCTGCTGGGTTGATGAGGAGTGATTTTCTGTCAGATCAGAGATTGGAATGTCATCCTGTGACAGGAGACCAGTAATGGCTTACCCTGTGTGTACCTGTCCGGGGAATCCAAATCTGGTATCTGATGCCGATCTGATATCTGACACGAATAGCATGGTCATACATCCATTGTCTGGCATCACTGGTTGAAGTGTAGTGTCAGTGGTAGACTAACACTTAGTCTCTGAATGTATATAATTTTGATTGTAACAAATAAACCTGTTTATATTGAAAAGTAGCCCAGGACAACAGAGATTAACCTGAGGATATCTAGACTTGCTTAATTTAGGGCTTTAGGATTGCAGTGAGGGATGGCTGTAGGGGAAATAATATGGTTCAGGGACTCTGAGACGGACTATGTCAGTGATGCTACTATACTGGTTCCTCACTTTAGACCAGAGGGGAAGATTGGTTCTGTCAGTATTGGGTATGGTACTTAGTTCTTGTAGGGCTGGTTTGAGTATCATGTCAGGGTCATAGGAAGTAGGTCTTTGGCATTGAAACTTGATCATGTGGAGCCAATGTTAGGTATTGACTTTTGATCTTGTGGAGCCAGTGTGGGGTATTGACATTGATCATGTGAAGCCGGTGTTAGGTATTGACTTTTGATCTTGTGGAGCCAGTGTTAGGTATTGACTTTTGGTCTTGTGAAGTCAATGTTAGGTATTGTCTTTTGATCTTGTGGATCCATTGTGAGGTATTGACTTTTGGTCTTGTGGAGCCAATGTTAGGTATTGACTTTTGATTTTGTGGAGCCAATGTCAGGTATTGTCTTTTGATCTTGTGGAGCCAGTGTATGGTATTGACGTTTGATCTTGTGGAGCCAGTTTAAGGTATTGACATTTGATCTTGTAGAGCTAGTGTAGGGTATTGAAGTTTGATCTTGTGGAGCCAGTGTTAGGTATGGACTTTTGATCAGTACGAACCAATGTTACGTATTGACCTTTGATCATGTGGAGTCAGTGTTAGGTATTGACCTTTAATCATGTGGAGCCAATGTTAGGTATTGACTTTTGATCTTGTGGAGCCAGTGTGAGGTATTGACGTTTGATCTTATGGAGCCAGTGTTTGGTGTTGACCTTTGACCATGTGGAGCCAGTGTTAGGTATTGACTTTTGATCTTGTGGATCCATTGTGAGGTATTGGCTCAGGAAAATGTGGATCCAGTGCTAGCACTGAATCAGAGTAATGGTGATTCAATGTTTGAGGATCGTGCTTGAAAAAGTGGAGATACAGAACTGTATTATATTTGTCCTCACTAAACTGGAGGTATACAATGGCAATGAACCAAAGATGGAGTTCAAGTAACCAAACTCGATTTCTGGATTGCTCCATCCCCGAGGGACCTGTCATCTGATGACTCTTGTTTTCATAAGGATATGTTGGACAATCTTGAGTCAGTGATATCGATAGAGATGTAGTGCAGAGTTGGAAAACATTGACGGCATGAGAACATTGATACACTGGGGAATGACATGATCTAATAACAAAACCCCAAAGTTAATTTCAAACCTGCATAAAGAGGTTTATTCAGCTTCTGTGGAGATTGATGAGCTAAAATGTTATAACCACTTGATTGAATGTTGAGGAGAAAGAAAAATACATTGAGATGAATCGTTATTGAAAATCTTGATTTTAGTCAAGTTTATAAGCATTTTCTTGTGATGAGAGATGTTCAAGTACTGCTATGACTTTCTTAAAATCTTTGTGGTGCAATCAAGCTGTCTAGAACAGGCATCATGATCTTAGGAAAGAGTTGACATTGTTTGGTAATGACAACACATGGCCTGCCAGGTCACGTACTGTAACTAACAGACTTGTATACTATAACTAACAGACTTGTATACTTTAACTAACAGACTTGTATACTGTAACTAACAGACTTGTATACTGTAACTAACAGACTTGTATACTGTAACTAACAGACTTGTATACTGTAACTAACGGACTGATGTTGTACAATGAGACATAGGCAGCCAAATCTAACTAATAGGCCATCTATATATTCTTCCACCAAGCATCGAATATTGGGTACATATTCTTCCCAGGACCTTGACAGTTTAAAGTAGTTTTGTCTATGCTTTTCTCAATTTTCATGTCCAGTCACTGAAACGATTTGCACAAACTGACTGACTTTGTTGAATTTCAAATGCTGAATAACTGCCACTGAAGAATATTTGTTCACATTGAAGAGATTTCCCAAAGCAGGATACTGTCAAGAACCAAATAACTTCAGCTTAGAAATATAATTTCATGTGAAGTTGAGCATGGGAAAATATATCAAAGAGGATCAGGAACTGAGTTTGGGAGTCTTCCTGAAAGACATATCGGTTTTCTGATTCGGCATGCAGTCTCCTGTACATGCTCACATTAGTCGTCAGATGTCAAAGGAAACAAAATTGAACATATCGTGACTGACACTTGCATTAAAGATCATGTTTCTGTTTCAGATAATCTGTGATACCTCAACTGTGATACTACTCGCTGCAGACAGACCTTCACGATGCCAGGAGGTGCGGGCGGAACCGGTTTTATCCGGGTGAGACTACTGCAAGTGGAGAAGGGCATGACCTTCGAGAATATGTACGACCCCTATATTGCCATCAACGTCAAAGAGGCTATAGACACCCCAGGTGAGTTTCATTTAATGTCATGAAATCATAGTTGACTAGGTGGTATTGTCAGATTTTTATGTTCGACCTTGAATTTTGAAAATGAAATTATTGGGATTTTTACAGTGTAAGATTGTGAATGAGTGGGTTCAACACTCATTTGGGGGTATAGATTGCCCAGTCATCCCAGGATCTGTACATCACTGTGGAAAGGTACATCACTTTGGTGTACCACAATTCTATGGTAGCTGGTTTGAATCCCAGTAAGGCTTGATTATGGTTTTAGTTTGGTTGACACATACCCTTTCTGGTAGATTTGACCAAAGTGGTAAACATTTAAGACCTACATCACTTGGGGCTTTATCACACTCAAGCACAGTTGATGTATATCTGAAATATTCACTCACTCACTCACTCACTCGAAATAGAAAACAGGATGAATTTATGTTTTGTCTTTAGATAATTAGAAATCAGTTAAAAATATGTCAAAAAACAATTCACATTTCATAAGATTAAGGATTAAAAAGTAAGATTAAAGTGCAGTGCTCCACTTTTTAAAGGGATAAACTGATTCTCATGATGTCAGCTGAATACTTAAATATCCTTAGGTGAATAGTACATAGCATTACTCAAGTGAAAAACTTGATCAAATCTACTGAGTCAGCCCTTGTGCCCAAACAAATGTCTTATAATTGGAGACTTGCAGCAAGTCTACTACTCTTCTCGAAAACAGGATTGTCTAAATGGTAATTGTTTTTCACACTTTCCCCTCTCTTCCCCTCAATCATGACTGATAGATTACTTAATCTCGAGATAGATTTTCACTGAGATAACCTCAGAGCTTAATTTGTTGTAAGTGACATTGTTTTCAGAGGTTTCTTCATCTTTCTTGTTTGATGGCATCATTCTGTGAGTTTGATCGGTGTGTTTGTGTTGTAGGATTGGCATTTGATTCCTGAATTTGATTGTCTGCGATTTATTTTTGCCCAACTGTTTATTTTGGATGATGCTGTCTTTCCTGATTGTCAGCTTAATCATAGATTTTCGATGTAGTTATTCTGATTTAAATATTTTTAGTCAGTTTTTTATTTTGACGGAGATCTATGTCAGTTCGGTTTCTTGTATAGGTCATCAAGTGTGCCCGTCTGGAGAAATTATAGTGGGTGGTCAAATCCTTTGTGATTTCTGTGTTATTAGCCCACTTCCTGATGTGTATGCACTAAAGGTATGGGTTTGATTCCCATTTCACCCAGATTCCTGGTTTGTCTGTACCATACCTGTACTCATGGGTTTTACCAAATTGTTACACGTCTGAAACTTCTGCTTCCAGTGTTGAGATTGCTGTGGTATTATGTTTATGTTGCTATTTCCACGATTAATGTGGGCTTTTCTGCGTTTTTCTGCACAGTGGGAAAGTTTTCTTTGTTAGTCCTGATTGTGCAGAGTACAGTTAGATCAAGTTCTGTTGAGATCATCGTGTAGAGTACAGTAAGATCAAGTTCTGTTGAGATCATCGTGTAGAGTACAGTAAGACCAAGGTATGTTGAGATCATTGTGTAGAGTACAGCAAGATCAAGGTATGTTGAGATCATCGTGTAGAGTACAGTTAGATCAAGGTATGTTGAGATCATCGTGTAGAGTACAGTAAGATCAAGGTATGTTAAGGTCATCATGTATAGTAAGATCAAGTTATTTTGAGATCATCGTTTAGAAATACAGCAAGATCAAGGTATGTTGAGATTATCATGTAGGGCACAGGCATATTAAGTTTTGTTAAGTGGAGATTATAATGTAGAATACAAGATCAAAGTACATTAAGATTAACCCCTTAGAGTACACCAACGTCAGCAACCTAGGACATGAGACCTAAATGGTAACTGTTCATGTATCTTCCTCCGTGAGATATCACGTCAATATCACAGAAGGGTCAATGTCTGACATGTGACATATTGCCTATATCCCCCATGGGACGTGACCATCTCCATCACAGAAACTTCCTTTTCATGGGAAATCTTCCATATGTTTCGATCTTGGCTGCAGAGTGGGATTATTTTCCAGGAATGCTTATTACAGATTAATGAGTTTGCTATTAGCACAGTTGATGGGCAGAATAGATTTATTTACATTAGTTGACATATAAGAATTCCTGGTAGACGTGATCAAATATCATTGCTGGATGACTGTTGACTTATTGAGATTGGCATTGTTTATTGCATGTTTATTGCATGTCACATAAAACTAGTTGATGTTCTGTGGAAACGGTCTTGTTTTCCTGTCTGATAGATATATACATGTACTATAATCTTGATTACATGGAATGCCTTAGTGTCATCGGTTCATTTGACTTTAACATGGCAAAGTGAAAAATGTGTGGCATGAAAATGATAGACAACAGGCTCTCTGAACTGTAGCATGGCACTGTCTGTGAACTAGCATTTGTTTTTTGTTTTTGTTTTTTGCAAAACTTGTTTAAAACATCATTACTTTCATACTCTGGTGTTGCAAGGCACTTGTAAACAATAGACTCTCTGAAATGAACCATGGCACTGTCTGTAAACTAGCCTTTTAGTTTGGTTCTTGCAAAACTTGTTTAAAACATCATTATTTATTCAACCTCTGGTGTTGCAAGAACATTAAAAACAACAGATTCTATAAACTGTACTATGGCACTATGTTTTGGTTCTTGCAAAACTTGTTTAAAACATCATTACCTATTCAAACATGGGCATCTCTCAAGACGTCCCTGTCTCACCATTCCTCTTAGTTCACTTGTATTGTTTTCTGACAAAACGATTGACATCCATGAAAGGATTATTGCTACAGAACCCACTTATGATCATGGCCATATTTAGAAACCAGTTAGTAGCTATTAATTGGCCTTCTTTCTTCGAAATATAAAAAAATGTGTTGAACTGGTTGGTAGTGGAGCCTAAGGCCAGACCAATTTTATTTCTTGTTTTATGTTTTTTGTCCTCAGAAAACCTAAAGGCATGAGGGAAAAATATACAAAATACAAATCACCAGTCAAAGATATTTTCCTTTTGAATACTAAAGTATTTTATTTTGTGCAATTTATGAAGTGCATATGGGGCAAAAAACAATAAAAACAATTGTTGTAAGTTTACATTTTTTTTCAAATAAAAACATGAGGATTTTATTTTTTAGGGGAAATTAATTATTTTTTTATTATTCTTGGAAAAATACAACAGGCGGATCCGTAAAACAAGAAATAAAATTGGTCTGGCCTAAGCTATGATTTTACGAATTTTCAAACTTCACAGTAGCTACCTGACATACAGACCTTGATACAGATATACCCAATGTTGTCCATGCATGTCTAGAATGTGTGGCAAGTCTAGATTGCCACAGTTTCTGAAAAGGAAGAAAGTCTCTGGGCTCCTTTTTATTGTATTTTATGAACATAATTAAGAAACCATTTTTTCTGTAAAATATGTTTATTTCGGAGATTAAATGTTAGCTTACCTTCACAGCATGGTTTTTGTCATGAAATGCTGCGAACAAAAACCAGTGTAGGTGCAAAATAGAAACAAAACAACAACATATTTTTAGACCCCATTGTGCACTAGCCAACCATCAAGTTTTACTCAGGTTTGGTTTGTACATGGGATCATTGGCACTAGGTTTTTGCATGTAATTAGCATGGAAATCAACCTTGACCTTAAAAAGAAATAATTTTAGAAACAGTGGGAATGATTGTTGGGAATGATTGTCAGCAGGATAGTTTACTTTCCTACCCATTTTGTTTATTTATACAAGTGTTTTTCCAATTTCCGTGATAATCCTCTGTCTGTACCAGATGTTTTTCCCAATATTGCTAGATCTCAGACTAAAATACAACTGTGGCAGCATAAAATTGATTGACCTTGACCTTGACCTTGACCTCTGCTTCAGGCCGTGGAATTCAGCTTGTGCAGAAGAAGAAGACTCTGTACCCTGAATGGAACTCATGTTTTGATGCCCATCTGTACGACGGTCGCGTCATCCAAATGGTGGTAATGGAACGACCGAACCGCTTCCTTGCCGACGTGAGCCTTGGTGCCAGGGTCTTGGCAGAGAAATGCGGCAACAGTAACATGACGACTGTGTGGGTGAGTAATCTGGATTACCGATCTCCTGGTACTGGAACTCTCTGAGGTCATGCTGTTGACATATTCACCTCCCTGCATCAGTGTCAGCATCAGGAGCAAGCACCTTCCTGGATGCTTGATCATGAAGATCATCCATGCTGATAATAAATTCATCAGTTAACGCCTATATTGGAAATCATTATCAAGCCCCCTAAATCATTATGGTACTGATTAGCATCTGCAAACATTTATTTTTGATATTTTGGATGAAATTGTTAATAGAACATTATTTTACCTTTTTATAGATGTTTTTCCGATAAAAAGATGATGGAAAGTTATGCTGATGTTACACATTTTATTCTTTTCTTAAACTTTTGTTTATATCTATTTTGTTAGTAATCTTAATGTATAAAGATGTGTTTTAATAAAATAAATAAAAATAATGTCAAATTTAATAGGAAACATTTCTCTTCAGTTGGATCTTCGACCATCAGGACGTCTCCAAGTTCAGATCAGATTCTTCTCAGGAACAGAAGGTGAGGCCAGATAAGGGAAAAGCACCAAATTGATCTTAACTGACATTTGTAAACAGAATTGGCATAAAAATAAGAAAACATATCTTGTCAGTTTATACAATCAGAACATGTGATTTCTCAGAGATGTGTGTTTTTTTGTTTTATTCAAGAGTAAAGTTTGTTGCAGCTGCAAGGGATGTGTTATGAAGTTCTTAGAGAATTATATAATATGGCTGTCAAAGAAACAATGAATTGAGTCAGGTACTCAACAGTGCAAGTAGGTATAGGTAGGCTGCGATATTTCAAGTGGTTCCAATTGAGATCAATGTTTTGTAGGTTTCATGGTTTAAAATTTCATATGATCAGTTAAGATGGGTGTGTGGTTAAATATTATGGAGGACCGGAAATCGTTTGCATTTGTTCCTGGTTGATCAAATTTAGTAAAAGAAAAATATCTATTTTAAGAAACATGGGATACTATTTATTTTTAGACTAACATATATTCACGTTTGTCTTGGGAGGGTAGTGGTTTTATTTCCAGAAGTATGAGTGAGTGAGTGACTTTGGTTTGATTACAAACAATTTTTTTCAAATAGAACAATTACATGATTACATTGGGACAGACAGTAAGAATATTAATGTAATTGTTCCATTAAAAAACCCATGTAAATAGGTAATTGTTTGATGTAAGAAAACCCTGGTAATCATGTAATTGTTCTTTTAAACCAATATACATGTAATTGTTCTATTTGTAAAGATAACGCCTATGAAAATCAGTTTAATCTTTATATTGGATAACCTGATATCAACAGATTAGATAGTATCAGAATATATGGATATTTTTTTCAAAATGGAGACTTCATGATTTTCCTAAATTGGTTTTATTTGGTTCAGTTGTTCAAAGTGAATTGTCAGTTGTTGACACTTTGGCAGGAAAGAAATATGTAAATATGTTTGTTCCTTTGTAAGTTTGACTTCCTCGTTCAGGAGGATGTGAATTGTGCACAATGGTGTCAAATATATAATATAACATGACATTAACGTAGGAAAAAGTTGTTGAGTTGAATAATTGTGCAGCTGCACTTTGCCAATAATACCAGCAGAGATTACAGTGGATTCAGTTACAAGGTGGAAGTGGACAGTGCTTGACTGAGGTTGGGATTTTGTATGCCAGTGGAAACAGGGATTAAAAGTGAGATAACAGATAGTTGAATCCTGGAGTAAAACACGACAGACTCGAGATTTGTGGCTGTGAGGATCTGTTTCTGATACAGGTTTAGTGAGTTAATTCTGTAGTTAAACCTCAAGAATATGAATCGATTTAAAAGCACGACTACATGGAAATTGCCTGGCAAAGGTAACGGTTTTGATAATATTAGATATCTATATGCATGCTGGGCAGAATTTTAATGAGTTAATCTAATTTAGTCTTGTGTTGAGTTTAAATGTAATTTGTTTATGGTTTACAAATCTTAAAATTAACTTGGAACTTTTATGATTTCTGAGGGATTGTTTAGTGTTCCTCTTGTAAATCCAATATGGCCGCCACTGTAACAGCCATAATGGAATAGTTATGTCTTATTCACCAGTTTCCCTGTATCTAGTGCTCTTACTGTGTTATAAATGTATGGTCATCAAATACATTTGATTTACAGTTCTCAGGAATGATAGTCAGATCAAAGGTACAATATCTTCTTGGCTAACAAAGATGTTTGTTTTGCTTACTGATATTTTCTAGAGTTTTTAACACTGTCCATGTCTGAGCTAAAACTGTTGTTACAATCCTTCATAATTTGCCAAATGGTATTACAATCTGTTCTGGAGCTACTACTGTATCAAGTTTTCATTTGTACAGCTTCATCTGTGGTTTGAACCTTCAAAAAGCTTCAACTGCTGTTACAATCCTTCAAAAAGCTTCAACTGTTGTTACAATCCTTCATAAAACTTTATATGTTGCTAGAAACCTTCAAAAAGCTTCAACTGTTGTTACAATCCTTAAAAAGCTTCAACTGTTGTTACAATCCTTCAAAAAGCTTCAACTGTTTTTACAATCCTTCAAAAAGCTTCAACTGTTGTTACAATCCTTCATAAAACTTTATCTGTTGCTAGAAACCTTCAAAAAGCTTCAACTGTTGTTACAATCCTTCAAAAAGCTTCAACTGTTGTTACAATCCTTCAAAAAGCTTCAACTGTTGTTACAATCCTTCAAAAAGCTTCAAATGTTGTTACAATCCTTCAAAAAGCTTCAACTGTTGTTACAATCCTTCATAAAACTTTATATGTTGCTAGAAACCTTCAAAAAACTTTCAACTGTTGTTACAATCCTTCATAAAACTTTATATGTTGCTAGAAACCTTCAAAAAAGCTTCAACTGTTGTTACAATCCTTCAAAAAGCTTCAACTGTTGTTACAATCCTTCATAAAACTTTATATGTTGCTAGAAACCTTCAAAAAAGCTTCAACTGTTGTTACAATCCTTCAAAAAGCTTCAACTGTTGTTACAATCCTTCATTAAGCTTTAACTGCAGTTCCCTTGATTCATAAAGCTTCAACTAATGTTAAACACCTTCAAAAAGCTTCAACACTTGTTTAAATCCCTCATAAATCATACTGCTGCAACGGTTGTTACAGTCATACAACTGTTACAGAAATGCAGCTGTTAAAGTCATGCAGTTGTTACAACCATACTGCTGTTACAGTCACACAGCTGTTACAGTAATGCAGCTGTTACAGTCATAGAGCTGTTACAGTCAAACAGCTGTTACAGTCATGCATCTGTTACAGTCACACAGCTGTTACAGCCATGAATCTGTTACAGTCACACAGCTGTTACAGACATGCAGATGTTACAGTCACACAGATGTTACAGTTTCACAGATGTTACAGTCATGTAGCTGTGACAGTCATACAGCTGTTACAGTCACACAGCTGTTACAGTAATGCAGCTGTTACAGTCATAGAGCTGTTACAGTCAAACAGCTGTTACAGTCATGCATCTGTTACAGTCACACAGCTGTTACAGCCATGAATCTGTTACAGTCACACAGCTGTTACAGACATGCAGATGTTACAGTCACACAGGTGTTACAGTTTCACAGATGTTACAGTCATGTAGCTGTGACAGTCATACAGCTGTGACAGTCACGCAGCTGTTACAGTCATGCAGCTGTTACTCATGCATCTGTTAAAGTCATGCATCTGTTACAGTCATACAGCTGTTACAGTCATGAAGCTGTTAGTCAAGCAGCTGTTAAAGTCATGCAGCTGTTACAGTCATACAACTGTTACAATCATACAGCTGTTAAAGTCATGCAGCTGTTAGTCAAGCAGCTGTTACAGTGATGCAGCTGTTACAGTCACACAGCTGTTACAGTCATGCAGCTGCTATTTCAGTTATGCTTAAGTTGTTAATTCATAAAGCTGTTGTTTCAGTCATACCACGGTTGTTGCAGTCATACAGCTTCAGTTATTGCTACAACTGTTCATAGATAGAATAGCTGTTGTACAGTCATGTAAAGCAATGTCTGTAAAACACATTTTAACCTTTCGTACGAAGTAAAGCAGAATACCAGTGAGTATATTGATGAATTAATTTTTTTTCAGAATTACAGAAACCAATGGATGAAGTTGGTTCAAAACGCGGCTTCATCAGGCGTGGAGCCATGAAACAGCAGAAAGTTCATGAGGTCAAGGGTCATCAGTTCATTGCCAAGTTTTTCCGTCAGCCAGTCTTCTGCTCCTTCTGCAATGACTTCATGTGGTATGTGACAACATGAAAACATACCACTCAAATTGTCATTAATATTCAACATTCGTACTCTGTTAAGAATATTATCTTGACATTGCATGACATATTCTTCTGGTATTTCTATACCCCAATGACCTGTGAAGATCCAGGTTAGAATTGATCTTCCATAACCCATGTTTGTTGTAAGATGCGACTAATGGGATCGGTTGACACATGTCATTGTATCGCACCGTGTAGATCGATGCTCATTCTGTTGATCACTAGATTGTCTGGTCCAGACTCGATTATTTACAGACCGCGGCCATATAGGTGGAATATTGCTGAGTGCGCATAAAACTTACTCAAGAACATTATGCCTGACGTTGCTTGACATATTCTTCAGGTAAAACTGAACAAACAAACAAACAAACAAACACAGTTGGTTCACATCATGGATTGATTTAATATCAAAGTGGAAACAAAAGGCAGTGAGGTTTTGTTCTCAACCCTGTAATGATCTAGGTTATTAAAATTAGTCTTGAGCAACCCTTGCTTCTCATGAGAGCTGACTAACAGATTAGGTGGTTGTGGCTGATTCCCTTTGATGGTACATGTCATGGTATACCTGAAGAAACAAAGTTGGTTCATGTCATAGCATACCTAAACAAACAAACAAACAAACAAAGTTGGTTCAGGTCATGATATACCTGAACAAACAAACAAACAAAGTTGGTTCAGGTCATGATATACCTGAACAAACAAACAAACAAAGTTGGTTCAGGTCATGATATACCTGAACAAACAAACAAACAAAGTTGGTTCAGGTCATGATATACCTGAACAAACAAAAAAAGAAAGTTGGCTCAGGTCATGATATACCTGAACAAACAAAGAAAGAAAGTTGGTTCAGGTCATGATATACCTGAACAAACAAACAAACAAAGTTGGTTCTGGTCATGATATACCTGCACAAACAAACAACGTTGGTTCAGGTCATGATATACCTGAACAAACAAACAAACCAAAAAGTTGGTTCAGGTCATGATATACCTGAACAAACAAACAAAGTTGGTTCACGTCATGATATACCTGAACAAACAAACAAACAAACAAAGTTGGTTCAGGTCATGATATACCTGAACAAACAAACAAACAAAGTTGGTTCAGGTCATGATATACCTGAACAAACAAACAAAGTTGGTTCAGGTCATGATGTACCTGAACAAACAAACAAACAAAGTTGGTTCAGGTAATGGTGTACCTGAACAAACAAACAAACAGATTCTTTTTTGCAATAGGGATACCACAGAGACCAGTGACTGGTCTCTAAAAACTCCTCAAAATCATGAAACCTTAGGTCACACATGTATATGAGCATGTTTCAGTCATGCGTTTGGGGATACACAGGTATTTTGAGCTGAGTTTATCATATGAATATATTTACCTATTTAGATTTTCCCTTGTGTATTTTGTGTGTGCTAAATTTGAACATTTACCTGTCAATCAGTGTCAATACTATCACTGATATGTTTCAGGGGACTTAATAAACAGGGATATCAGTGTAAAGGTAAGTAAGATAACGATTTTGTATGACCATTGGTTACCATGGAAACCTGATAAAAAATGTCAGTCCATTGAAAATATTTGTCATGGAGTAATGTGCTTTTAATTTAGAAATATACTGAAAGACGATGGTGAAATTAAATGTTAACATTATATTTGATAATCAATAAACAGTTGTCAGGGAAATATGACACAATTGTGTTACTGATTCGTTTATGGTACAGTTACTTTACATAATATTTTCACAACCCAATAAAACTGCAAATGATATCACGGATATTGTAAAGCAGCATTTATCAGTTGTTGCATACACTTTAAGAGAATATATGAAATATGTTCCTATTTTATATTGAATATTTTTATTTAATATTTGATAACTTTTTACATTTTTTATATTTCTGATTTTGCTAGCTTGCAACTGTGCTGTCCACAAGAAATGCCATGACAAGATGCTCTGTGACTGCCCAGGCAGCGCGAAAGACAGTAGAGAAACAAAGGTAATCAGAGTTATCCCCCTTGAAGTAACTTATTAACCCAAAGCTCCTCTGAGATGGAGTCTTTGCGAGACAGTGTCACGCATGCTGTTGTCATGTGATTGTAGCAGGGCGTAGGTCATCCCATAGATGACAACATTTCCTTGCTGGAGGGGAAGCATGTCTTTGGTCATGTGGACAAGGCATCCCACTTTGGATCAGAATGTCCGTGGTTCGAATCCCTGCACACGACTTGGACATTTTACGGCTGCTACATGATCTGTATGGCACAGAAATGTTTGAATGTTTTATTTAATAAACTGACAAAGTTTTGGGTCATTCCTGGGATTGAACTCAAACTTTCAGGTTTTCAAGATCAGGAACACTTATATTAAATACTTAAGCACTCAAATCATGTATGATACGATAGAACCCCAAAAGATTGTGTTTTTACACAGTGTGTGAAGACAAGTAATTATTGGTTGTTTTGTATTGATTTGAGTTGTTGAAATCAGATAAATACTATACTCGCCTTCTACCTCTTATGGAGCACTTCTTTCCGTGAAGATCCGGGTTAGAATATTGATCTTCAGTAACCCATGCTTGTGGTAAGAGGCGACTAACAGGATCAGGTGGTCAGACTCGCTGACTTGACACATGTCATCAGTTCCCAATTACGCAGACCGATGCTCATGCTGTTGATCACTGGATGGTCTGGTGCAGACCCGATTATTTACAGACCACCGCCATATAGCTGGAATATTGCTGAGTGTGGCGTGAAACTCACTCACTTACTATGGAGCACTTTTGTAAGCATATGGGATTTCAATAGCTACACTGGTAACTCAAAGAAATTAAAAAAGTGAAAAGATGCACTACTGTCTTTTTCAGATGTTAACAAAACGGTTCAAGATCGATATGCCGCATCGATTCCGTGTAAACAACTATATGTCTCCGACCTTCTGTGATCACTGCGGCACCCTGCTGTATGGCCTCTTCAGACAGGGACTCAAATGTGAAGGTGAAGGTCACAATGAGAGGTTTATGCAGTGAATAACTGAACTGACTATATATCACTATCAACTGTTATACATGTCGGTCTGTTATCATTTTGATCACTGGATTGTATGGTCCCGATCGATTATTTACAGACCACTGTCATTTAGCTGGAATATTGCTGAGCACAAACAAACCTAATGTAACATTCGTTTTGTGTAATGCTGTTGTTGGTGGACTATGTGAAGAGGAATCTTGGTTGTGAAAACTTGATCAAAAGGAACCATTTCCACAGAATCCAGAACTCATGACATCTTCATTAATTGTATGATTTGTTCCCTTGACAGTGTGTTCAGTCAACTGCCACAAGAAGTGCGAGAAGTTCATGCCAAATCTGTGTGGCGTGAACCAGAAGCTTCTTGCCGATGCTCTTGCTGACGTATACCCATCTGGAGGGCGCTCCAAACCTGCCTCAACATCTCCTTCGACCGATACTACAGTGAGTTGATATTTGAAATTTTGTTAGTAGGTCATGGTCAAGGTCGTATATAAAAAGGTCATATTCTTTGGAGTTTAGTCAGATTAAGATTCATGGTCTAATGTAAGCTGAATAAACTTCAGATAAAAAGCAGTATATGTCAGGGTCATTGTTTCAGAGACAATACTAACTTTGTCTATGCATGAGCCTCAAGGTTGAGTTGCATCAAAGTATCTGGGGCGTGTTCCCTAAAGCATTCATATAACTATAATATTTGTTAACCTTTGTTGAACAATATAGTTAATTACTATAGGTGGTAATGCTACAAACACATTGTGGATTGAGACCTGTAAGTAAATGCTAATATAATTCTCTCTGAATAATATGTTAGATCTGGCTATAAACTTTGCACTGTGTGAGGTCTGTCTCTCCAAATGTTTCTTGTTGATGGCTGTGAGCAGTAGTTGATGTGTGACAAACATTGTTACAGATGACGGAGATAGCTAATGAGGCAGCAGCTGAAGAAGACAGTGACGATGAGAACTACCAGGAGATGTGGCGTATGGGCACTGCCACCTCCCCAACCAAGGCACCCCCAATCGCCCTCCGGAAGTACACACCAGAAGAGTTCAGCTTCCTCAAGGTGCTCGGCAAAGGCAGCTTTGGCAAGGTAAATTCCCTTGTGTTTCATGTATATGTTCTACGTACATTATTGCTGAGAATTAATATCTGTAAGTAAATTATGGCTATAAGAAACTCAGAGGAACCTCTAATTACTCCCTTGTGTTCCATGTATATGTTCTACAAACATTATTGCTGAGAATTAATATATGTAAGTAAATTATAGCTATAAGAAACTCAGAGGAACCTCTAATGACCATAGTTTGGTATACACTAAAATATAAAGGGGGAAAGAAACCAGTTTGTTACATGCATAAGTTAATTTTATGCATGGAAGTCATAAACAGACTCATAAACATACAGAATTAGTTGCAAATGGCCTTCTGTATTTTTAGATGATGGGGGATGTTTGGCGTAACATTCAACTTCATGAGGACTATTGAAAATATATTTATATTCTGATAAAAATGAAGTCTGTTTTCAATAAAAGAGCTGTAATTTTTGAGGAAACAGACAGTGCAATAATGTTATTTGTGCATTCTGAGTACAGTAGTGAACATAGGTCCAGAAGGTTGGGAGTTTAGGAGTCCAGGAGGTTAGGAGTCCAGGAGGTTAGGTTAAGAGGCCAGAAGGTTAGGAGTCCAGGAGGTTAGGTTAGGAGTCCAGGAGGTTAGAAGTCCAGAAGGTTAGGTTAGGAGTCCAGGAGGTTAGGTTAGGAGTCCAGAAGGTTAGGTTAGGAGTCCAGGAGGTTAGGAGTCCAGAAGGTTAGGAGTCCAGGAGGTTAGGTTAGGAGTCCAGGAGGTTAGGTTAGGAGTCCAGGTTAGGAGTCCAGAAGGTTAGGTTAGGAGTCCAGGAGGTTAGAAGTCCAGAAGGTTAGGTTAGGAGTCCAGGAGGTTAGGTTAGGAGTCCAGGAGGTTAGGAGTCCAGAAGGTTAGAAGTCCAGAAGGTTAGGTTAGGAGTCCAGGAGGTTAGGTTAGGAGTCCAGGAGGTTAGGAGTCCAGAAGGTTAGGTTAGGAGTCCAGGAGGTTAGGTTAGGAGTCCAGGAGGTTAGGAGTCCAGAAGGTTAGGTTAGGAGTCCAGGAGGTTAGGAGTCCAGAAGGTTAGGTTAGGAGTCCAGGAGGTTAGGAGTCCAGAAGGTTAGGTTAGGAGTCCAGGAGGTTAGGTTAGGAGTCCAGGAGGGTTAGGAGTCCAGGAGGTTAGAAGTCCAGGGTTAGGTTAGTCCAGGAGGTTAGGTTAGGAGTCCAGGAGGTTAGGAGTCCAGAAGGTTACGTTAGGAGTCCAGGAGGTTAGATAAGGAGTCCAGGAGGTTAGGAGTCCAGAAGGTTAGGTTAGGTGTCCAGGAGGTTAGAAGTCCAGAAGGTTAGGTTAGGAGTCCAGGAGGTTAGGAGTCCAGGAGGTTAGGTTAGGAGTCCAGGAGGTTAGAAGTCCAGAAGGTTAGAAGTCCAGAAGGTTAGGTTAGGAGTCCAGGAGGTTAGGTTAGGAGTCCAGGAGGTTAGGAGTCCAGAAGGTTAGGAGTCCAGAAGGTTAGGTTTGGAGTCCAGAAGGTTAGGAGTTCAGAAGGTTAGGAGTCCAAAAGGTTAGGTTATGAGTCCAGAAGGTTAGGTTTGGAGTCCAGAAGGGTTGGTGTTGTCTGCTACCCGATCTAACTGTGTTGGTCTGCTGCAGGTGTTGCTGGCTCAACTGAAGGGTACCGACAAATACTACGCCATCAAAGCCCTGAAGAAGGATGTTGTACTGGAGGATGATGATATTGAGTGTACCATGATAGAGAGGCGGGTCCTGGCCATGGGCTGTCAGCATCCTTTCCTCACACATCTACACAGCACCTTCCAGTCTAAGGTATGTACCCATCACACATGTACAGATCACCTCACACATCGACACATCACCTTCCAGTCTAAGGTATGTACACCCATCACAGATGTACAGATCACCTCACACATCTACTCAGCACCTCACACATTGACACAGAACCTCACACATCTACACAGCACCTCACGCATCTACACATCACCTCACACATCTACACAGCACCTCACACATCTACACAGCTCCTCACACATCAACACAGAACCTCACACATCACCTCACACATCTACACAGCACCTCACACATCTACACAGCACCTCACATATCTACACAGCACCTCGCACATCTACACAGAACCTCACACATCTACACAGCACCTCACACATCTACACAGCACCTCACACATCTACACAGCACCTCACACATCTACACAGAACCTCACACATCTACACAGAACCTCACACATCAACACAGAACCTCACACATCTACACAGCACCTCACACATCTACACAGGACCTCACACATCTACACAGAACCTCACACATCTACACAGAACCTCACACATCGACACAGAACCTCACACATCTACACAGCACCTCACACATCTACACAGAACCTCACACATCTACACAGAACCTCACACATCTACACAGCACCTCACACATAGACACAGAACCTCACACATCTACACAGCACCTCACACATCTACACAACACCTCACACATCTACACAACACCTCACACATCGACACAGCACCTCACACATCGACACAGCACCTCACACATCTACACAGCACCTCACACATCTACACAGAACCTCACACATCGACACAGAACCTCACACATCTACACAGCACCTCACACATCTACACAGCACCTCACACACCAACACAGAACCTCACACATCGACACAGCACCTCACACATCTACACAGAACCTCACACATCTACACAGAACCTCACACATCTACACAGCACCTCACACATCTACAAGAGTAACCAATGGTGCTACTTTCTCCTCACTGTGTGGTATGTTCCTGTTTCAGAGTCACCTGTTCTTTGTGATGGAGTACCTGAATGGCGGAGACCTGATGTTTCATATACAAATGAGTGGGAAGTTTGAGTTCCCCCGAGCACAGTAAGTAGATATTAGTAGTACAGGCCCATTCTACATTTACATCGGACGATGAGAGTGGTATATGTAGTGTGTGGTCCTGTGCACAGGGCTCAGGCCACAAACCAGTTGAAGTTAAGCAACATTGGGCGCAGAGAGTCCTTGGATGGGTGACTCCTGAGAGTTTCTATGAGTGTAGTCCTGCCCCACAACGAAGCACATGTGATACATGTGGTCTCACCTTAGGCAAGTGAGTTTGTTTAAAATTGCCTGTGTTCACCCAGCAGAAAATGGGTACCCGACAGGTGATTATATGTACAAGATAAATATATTACACTTAGTTTCATCCTGTTAGGATGTGTACATGTGACTGTCTAAGTTGCATTGCATTCTATGTGTATAAATTTTGCTAGGTCTTTTAATATTATTAATCTACTTGCAGATACTATGCAGCAGAAATACTTTGCGGCCTTCAGTTCTTGCATTCCCATGGAATTATATACAGGTATGATAGAAGGATGTTTGTTAACGCCACACTCAGCAATATTCCAGCGATATGGCGGTTGTCTCTAAATATTAGAGTCTGGACCAGACAATTCAGTGATCAACAGCATGAGCATCGATCTACGCACCTAGGTACAATGACATGTGTCAGCCAAGTCAGTGAGCCTGACCATCTTGGCATTTCTTTCACATTTCTTTCATACTCACTATATAAATTTTTATTTAATGTTTGTAAAAATGCTGTTTCAGAGACTTGAAGTTGGACAATGTACTGCTTGACAAAGAGGGACACATAAAGATAGCAGACTTTGGCATGTGCAAGGAGAATATATTTGGCGAAAAACTTGCTACTACGTTCTGCGGAACTCCTGATTATATTGCACCAGAGGTAAGTTAATAAAATACCATTTCTTGTCAACTATATTATTGTTTTCTTGTCAACTATGACAAGATGATTGGGATCACTCCATGCCCCAAAACCAAAAAGAACTTTTGCTGATATAGCAGGGCATGGAGTGATTCCATAGATGACATCATCACCTTGTCAGCTTGCTGATGGGGTTAACCTCTTTGGTCATGTGGACAAGGTGTCCGACTTCAGATCAAATCCCAGCACTGGATTTTATGGCCGCTACACTGACATAAATAATAATAATGGCCATTTACAAAGTGCCTGTTTCCACACATTTGTGCATGCTCAAAGCGCTAACACATTATTACATCTGATAACCCAAGCTGCCTGTTAGGCGCTAGAAGGTTATAGTCACATGACTAATCCCACTGGGTACCCATTTTCTGCTGACTTGAGGGAAAAGATTCTGTTGACTGCATATTGCTTTTTATACACTGAAAGGAAAACCAATATGTTATTTACTGTTCAGCCATTATGTTTATTTTTTTGTATGTTTGTGAATTACCAGTTAAATACCACAGATGGTTTGTCTCCCTTAGATTCTGAAAGGCCAGAAGTACAACGCCTCAGTGGACTGGTGGTCATATGGTGTCCTGTTGTACGAGATGCTGATTGGCCAGTCTCCCTTCCATGGCGATGATGAAGATGACTTGTTCCACTCCATCCTCCATGACACCCCTCGCTACCCCCACTCCATGTCCAAGGAGGCAGCGACAATGCTGAGTCTGGTAAGAACTTCATCCACTGAGCTACTCGATTTGAGGCTGTGTTAGATTGGAATCAGGGAGGACTCTGGAAAAACTGACATTAACATCATTAAACTGATTTTAGTCTTCAAGGTGGACAGTCATGAGAATACCCGGATGCAGTTTTACAAATTCAATCGATATGCATTTAGACATATGAGCCAATAGATAGGCATATAGATATATCTCAACAGATAGGCATGTGGATACATGAATAGGCATATAAGTGTATTGATGTCAACAGTTTGGTATATAGTTGTATAAGTCGGCAGGTAGGAATATGGATGCATAAATCAACAAGTCAACAGATAGGCATCTAGATACTGATGTCAACAGTTAGGCATATAGATATATAGGTCAGTAGATAGGCATGCAGATGCATAAATCAACAAGTCAGCAGATAGGCATCTAGATACTGATGTCAACAGTTAGGCATATAGATATATAGGTCAGTAGATAGGTATATAGATACTGATGTCAACAGTTAGGTATATAGATGAATAAGTCAGTAGATAGGCATATAGATGCATATATCAACAAGTCAACAGATAGGCGTATAGATGCTGCTGTCAACAGTTAGGTATATAGTGTATTAGTCAACAGATAGGCATATAAATACTGATGTCAGCAGTTAGGCATATCGATATGTACAAGTCAACAGATAGGCATCTAGATACTGATGTCACCAGATAGGTATATAGATGTATAAGTCAGTGGATAGGCATATAGATGCATATATCAACACTTCAACAGATAGGCAAATAGATGCGTAAATCAACAAGTTGACATATAGGCATATAGATACTGATGTCAACAGATATTCATTTGGATGGAAGTCAGAGAATATATGTTCAGAAAGAAGTAGTCATCTCGACATTGATGAACCTTGATTTACATTGATTTTCTATGTTTTAGCTATTTGAACGGAACCCTCATGAACGTCTGGGCATGCCAGGATGTGTAGCTGGACCAATCAGATCACAGCAATTCTTCCGCAGCATTGATTGGGAGAAACTGGAGCGACGAGAGATGCCACCACCATTCAAACCAAAGCTTGTAAGTATTTTTACAATATTAAATTAAAAATTAAATGAAAGTGTCAACCATTTGTTGATGACAGTATTTAAAAATAATATTCCAAATGTATTATACATTCGAATGAAACAAAAAAATGTCAATGCAATCACGTAGAAGGATGAATCAAATGTGAACTAATTACGCCCTCGGTTGGATTTGTTTGTGTTTGTTTTTTGGCACACTCAGTGATATTCCTGCTATATGACTGTTTCCTGTAAATAATCAAGTCAGGATCAGACAAACCAGGGGTTGATATTACTGAACACTGTCCCATGTCATGAGGTGTGATGGGTCATTGAGTCTGAAGTGAGTGAGTGAGTGAGTTTAGTTTTACGCCGCACTGAGCAATATTCAAGCAATATGGCAGCGGTCTGTAAATAGTCAAGTTTGGACCAGACAATCCAGGGATCAACAGCATGAACATCGATCTACACAGTTAGGAGATTAGTCGTCTCTTGTGACAAGCATGGGTTACTGAAGATCAATTCTAACCCGATCTTCATGGGTCTTGAGTCTGAAACATAAGTTTTCCATAAAAAGAAATTAGGTGTTAAGGACCAAGACATTTATATCCATGTCCCCTTTGGTTTTCCTGATTTTCAAAATGGCTAATTTCTTGTTCTTGTTTCAGAAATCTCCTAGCGACAGCTCCAACTTTGACATGGACTTCACAATGGAGAAAGCTCAGCTCACCCCACCTGATAAGGATCTCTTGAAGACTATGAACCAGAATGTATTCAAGAACTTCTCCTTTACCAGTGAAGCAGCGGGCTAACTCAACCAATCACTGACAAGATGCTAGGAAGATGTAGCCAGTCAGGAGCCAGTAAAGGAAGCAACCAATCACAGACAAGCACATGGAAAGAATTAACCAATCCCGGAAAAGCATTGCAATTTAATTAGGAAAATACTTCCATGTCTGAATGTCTGATATTATTGTTTGAAGGTTCAACAGTTATGTGGCTTCATAAATGGAAAGTTGGTTTTGTGAACTGATTCAAATATTTGCGATAAAATTGTGTGATAATCAGCCTAGTGGATGAATCAGTTGCTTTATTAGAATCTATTAATTATTGTTTAAAAAGAGTCATTTCCCAAATATGAACATTCTAGGAATTCAGGCTTCACAAAATCGGTGAAGCAGATATTTTCAAAATGGCTGCTTTTTTGAGATTTTGACATTGTTTGAAGTTGAATGTTTAGTGTGCCTATTGACTCTTATAGGAGAGATTCCACATTCTCTTCACTGGGAGCATACCTATATCAAGATACCACAGGTTACAGCAGGGATGTTTCGGTGCACTTGACCGTGAACGATGTTACACATTTTCACATTGCAGTCATTCGGTCAAGAAAACCCACAACTTCATTATTGACTAGCTTAATGCACACACAATATGTCACTGACAATGCTTGATCTTGTGCCATGAACACTTTCCAAGGAAGAATTTGTCATAAAAATCAAGATCTTGTTAAGTGAGGCAGCATTAAAGGAAAAGATCGGGTCAGTAGTCTCTGTTCAGCCAATGGACAGTGTCTACTTTACAGTGCAACCAAACCTCTACTGTGGGTATGTCCTTCCGCCATGTTGTGCTGCAGTCAAGGTGAAATCCATGTCAAGGTCAAGGTCACAGGTATAAAAATGTCCCCAATTCGGAGTTTATGACCAGCTTCCTTTGGTCGTCATGGAAACGTACCCCTACAAAGTCCTCATTAATGGATTCCACGATGCAAGTCCAACAAAAGTCTCACCACAAGTACATGATGGCATAATTGGTTCAGTCTGAGATAACTGGATTCATGGACAACACTGGACTCAAAGCACAGTATAACACTATTCACTACCATATTCAGCATATTTAGCGCCCAGGGTGCACAAGAGGAGGAGGATGCTCCCAGCAGCACATTACCATACCGATGTACAGATACAAGTTGATACAATGCTATCAGTTGGATCCACATCATGTTCATTATCAATACAGTGGTAGAGGTCACGTCATACAGAACAATTCACCATACGCTGATGCCGAGAGCAATGCAAGCTTGTTCCTGGAGTGGCCCTGATTGTGAAATATGAAGACTCCCTCAATTCGACAAACTCACACAGAAAGGTACATTTAACATCGAAAGCCAGGATATTGTTACTGAAGAATATGAATGCAACAAGTTTTCCATTCAGTTTAAAGCTCTGGGTCACATTAAAAAAATTCTAATGGCGAAAGAAAACAAAGATTAAAAGATGGCAAGTAATTAGTTATGAGATCTCAAGACATACTCATTTATCAGCTCATCTGATTGGCAGGTTTAAAAACATAAACAGGATTTATCTCACAAGTATGCTGACAGACTTAATGTCCATATCGATATGTGGTGAATAGTCATGTCCATATTTGTCATGTAAAATGGGCAGTTTTAAATCTGTGTGAATATTATACATGTGTGACTCCCACCTTCCTACTTACAAACCCTCAATTTTGAGGTAGTTACTCAGAAAACCAAAAGTTTTTTACAGTATTTTTATGTATTTATGCGTGTGTAAAACATTTTGAATATCTGTTATATACATAGTGATATGTTAATGTTGTTTTTCTGTATATATAACGATGAATAGGAAATAGAGTGTTTTGACAAGATGTAAATTGTTCCAATCAGATTCAAGTTGCATGTTGTGGATGACGATGAGATTGTTTTTCTTCATATTTCCTTCTATCTGTTATGTATAAGCACATTTTACGTTAAAAATTGTCATTTAATACTTTTTGAACTGTGAAAACGGAATGTAATTTCTAAATATTGTTATATATATTTCTTGTTATATATAGTTGATAGTATATATGGACAATTATGAAGTGATAATTTAAATATTGTAAAAATGTAAATGTGCATTCTTAATCTGAAGATGTATTTTTAACATGTATCCTATAGTCAAGAGAGAAAAAAATTACTGTTAGTCAAGCAACAAATTCTCAATTTGTAACCATTGTAGAATCAAAGGGAGGTAATCCTTTCTCCTGCTCTTAGAATACCACTATGAGCTGTATTACTTCTGTAATTTAACTTTCCTACTTAAAATCATATTTATTTATGTTTTATTTTGAATCTGAGCTCTTTTGAATCTTTACATAAATAATTCATAATTTTATTAATTTATTTTTCAAGGAGCTATTTTGTGTTGCTTTTAACAAACATTTATTACAACATTTTAAACTCATTAAGATCTCCATTCCATAACATTCTTATTCTTTGTAACATATTTTGTTTTGTGTGTATGAGAATAAGCTTTTGAAATGCATGTAAAACTATGCTTGTGTAATGCGTCCAAATTATCAGATTGGTATGTTTGTAATATTCACATTCATCTATCAATATAACATTTGATAAAACTTAAGAACGTACCGTATCTCTATCCCAAAATTCCATGTATTTTTGGGAAGTAAAAAATGTCAATCAAACTAAAAATGTGTCAAATTGAGGGGATCTATGTAAATACTTGAGGTATCCGAGGCTTTATGTATTACAATAATGGTGAATTACAAATGAATACGCATGGACCTACTGTTTACTTCGACACATCAAAGTTTGATATATGTTGTTTGACTGTAATATGTGACATTGATCTCATTGAGAGAAAGAGCTGTCAGCGGTACCTGGTTAAAGATTTATACAAGAATTTTGTGTGTTACCATGAATACTGTAGTACAATCATATCATATGATTCCGAGGATGCCATTGAAAGGGTAGTAGAATATAAACTGCCACGGAATAGTTGCAAACCATCCGATAATCAAATTGTTTATTTAGATGAGATTTTAATGAAATTGGGGTTGTACTGTCATATTTAAAAAATATCAGTTTAATTTTATTTGTTGTTAGAATACTGTATGATATGGCATAATAGTCATTGCGACATATCAGTTACCAGCAGACATTAACATCATGCTTTCCTTGCAACTGATCTTACTTATTACCATGATATGTATGTAATCAGAAACTATTCACATTTTCTTTTGACAATAATCATTTACTTGTTTTTGCTTATGTTGTTGCTATTGTGTTACATTTCAAAATGTACAGTTTTGATTGACTTTGTAAAATATTATTTACCATAATTATTATTATTGTAATTATTGTTTCCACGCAGGAATTTAACCCAATCATACCATCTCAATCACAAGTTTATCCTATTACAGTATTGTGGTAACAGGGGACGGGTGCTAATTGTGTCATTTACAGAAATCGGCAAATCAAAGTACTCATTTTGGTTTAATGCTTTGTAGAACTTACTAGTATTGAAACTGCTGAATCAGCCTCTTAGGATTAGTCCCTAAAGCCCTGGTCCATGTTTCCTAAAGTGATCTTAGCACTATGATGATCGTACGCCTGTGTTGAGGTATTAGAGTTACAAAAATCACCTTAGCTTTGTGGGACCCTGATCTACTCGTTGATCTTAGCACCACGATATATTAAAGTATATAGGAGTTATGGTGACCTTAGCGCTAAGATCACTTTGTGGAATGGGTCCCTGATCTACTAGGTGGTCTTAGCACCCCAATATGTTAAAGTACCGGTATATAGGAGTTATGGTGAACTTAGTATTAAGACCACATTGTTGGTCTACTAGGTGATCTTAGCACCACGATGTCTTAAAGTAAATAGGAGTTATGGTGACCTTTGCGCTAAGATCATTTTGTGGAATGGGTCCCTGACCTACTAGGTGATCTTAGCACCCCATTATGTTAAAGTAATATAGAAGATATGGTGAACTTAGCATTAAGATCACTTTGTGGGACCCTGATCTACTAGGTGACCTTAGCACCCCAATATGTTAAAGTATATAGAAGATATGGTGAACTTAGCATTAAGATCACTTTGTGGGACCCTGATCTACTAGGTGACCTTAGCACCCCAATATGTTAAAGTTTATAGAAGATATGGTGAACTTAGCATTAAGATCACTTTGTGGAATGGGTCCCTGATTATGTTACTCATGTCTCGTTACAGAAATATGCATAATGATGTTACTTTAATTCATTTTTACTGTTATAACATAGTCTCTATACATGTATTTGCTTCAGTACAGACCTCATCTGTTTTCTGTGACACACTAGTATGTTTTATTTGTGTGGCCCCTATTTTGGAGAAGATGTTGCCAATTATGTTGTTACGTAATTCATGTTAATGGCACCCTGTTCCAGTGTACCAGCCCTGGTTATGGATGAATGACATTGTTTTCTGACTTTACCAACATAGCCATAACTAATATCGCATATGAGTGTATGGAATACATACAACATGATTACAGTATTTCCAGTGTTCAGGGCTCATCTTAATAGTGTACAAGCTCAAGCTTTGGATGTTTCACCTATTTAGACCTGTGCAGATGATAATACCTGTCAGCTCTCAGGTGGAGATAGTCCTTTGTACCTCAAGAAAGGGGAGATAACTCCCCATTTTCTATGGGAAAGGGAGATAACTCCTTATTTCCTTAGAAATGGGGGATAACTTCTTGTTTCTCATGAAAAGGGGAGTGAACTCCTTGTCTAGAAGCATCTCAGTCAGCCGTTGATCAATTCCATCATTTAACCTCGTGTGTAATGTAAGTATATCACCTTATTCTAAATACTAGAATGAGAGTTGCCAGTCATTGCCTGATCATGAAGCTGATGTTTCTGTGTACAAGCTAACATGTGACCTTAGTTGTCTTCTTACCTGTCCATTTCAACTTCGGTGCCCATCCTCATTCAAAATAAAACAGCATTCAATAAAATTTATTGAAAGACTTTGTGCATGTCTTGTGATTATAATTTCATGTTTGCTTGTTTTCTCCGATTAGAATTTGGGTTGGGAGTGAGTGAGTGAGTATGGTTTTACGCCGCTTATAGCAATCTTCCAGCAATATCACGGCGGGGGACACCAGAAATGGGCTTCACACATTGTACCCATGTGGGGAATCGAACCTGGGTCTTCAGCGTAACGAGTGAATGCTTTAATCACTAGGCCACCCCACCGCCCTGGTTTGGGTTGGTGGCTGTCATTGGGGTGTCATAGTGATTAAAGCAATCACTTGCCATGCTGAAGGTATGGGTTTGACTTCTCACATGGCTACAATATGTGGAGCCCATTCCGGGTGTCCCCCATTGTGATAATTCGGTGCCCCCCACATGATATTGATGGAATCTTGCTATTTAAACTTCACTCACTCTTGGATTACAGTTTTCTGTAGATGCCATGCAGAATAGGTGAGGTTTTGCCTTCAAGAGTATTTCACATGCAAGGTTCATATAGTCATAGTCACATGTATGTATGACATTTAACTGGATACCCAAATCCGACACAATAAAATTATACTGAGCTGAGTGAGTATGGTTTGACGCCGCTTTTAGCACTATGCCAGCAATATCACGATGGGGGACACCAGAAATGGGCTTCCCACATGTGGGGAATTAAATCCGGGTCTTCAGCGTGACAAGCAGACGCTTAAACCACTCGGAGCTGACCATAACCCTGGAATGACATGTATTAAGCAGCGAAACAACACATACCATCTTTTAATGTCTTTCGATGTGGCACAGCCAGGGATATAACCATCACCCTACCACAATCTGGGTCGGCATTCGACCCATTTGATCAACGATTTGGTCCATTCCAGCAAAGACAAGGGTGTAATAAAACAAAACAGTCTCGTTCCTTGAATTGTTAAGACATGTATTCACTGCTGAACAGATAAACACATTAGCATAATTCACTAGACAGATAAACAAATGTACATGATTCACAGACATATAAACACACAGGAAATAGTCAAGTCATGTTGGATTAATGTCCAATTCAGCTTTGATTCGTTTTTATCTAGGACTTTAGAGATTTTAATTTATGCCATTGATGTCGACTTCAATAATCTCTCGAACATTTTAACTTAAAATATATAACACTATGTAGTATAAGAACTCAACTTGCATACGTCCACATTTAAAAACTCTTACACATAAGATACCCTCTTCCAATAAAATTCAATGTGGTGTCTAATTTGAGTCATGATTGTTTGTCCATAATTCATATTTCACTCACAAGGAACTATGTTAAGGAATGGTCCCAGGGAATTTATCACAATGGAGATTCTCAACATCTCTCTTGATGCATTAATCAACATGTAGTTCTTCTGAAATTCTCAATGTCTTCCGGGTACCGATGATATACGAATGGTTCCCAGGAATTTATTGAGACATAAGGATGATACTCAACATCTCTCCAGATTAAAATTCAGCACCAGTCTCGGAGTATTACATCTCCAATATATAGACCTGGCCATGCTAACAATAAGTACATATTGCATTAATCGACAAGTAGTCCTGAAATTCTCAATGTCTCCCGGGTACCCTGTCTACAACTGAGCATACACAGAATGGGTTTAAGCACAAAGTTCTATGTTACAAGCACCATCGTCCACCGGGTCCAGAAATGTCTGATACGGTTCCACTGAACAATCACATGCAGTGATAATTATTCAAGAATAATCTATAGTGATGTTGTTGCAGTAGTTCGGACTTGTTTTTCAAAGATTGTGAGTGCTACCAGAGTAATAAAATATGTTTTTTGTTTGTTGTTGAACACACTCAACAACATTTCGGCTACATGGCTTCAGTCTGTAAATAATCCGAGTATGGACCAGACAAACCAATGATCGATATCATCATGAACAACCATCAGAAGCTTGATGGGTATTCAGAAGCTGGAAGATAACATAACAACGTATGGTATGGATCTACAACTTCTTTAATGTTTACAACACAACGCTTCATGGCTACTTCTTGCCCACATAATCTCCTTGATCTCTGTACATCTCAATCTGTAATACTATCTCAATGGCCTCCTGTACATACCATATAGTTTGTTCGTAATCATATTCTGTCATTCACCTGATGAAGGGGCAAGAAAGTAGCCCAGAAACGTCATGTTGTAAACATTAAAGAAGTTGTAAATCCATACCATACATTGTTAAATCAACAACGATCTTCGCATTTCGCACTCACTCAAAGCGAGTCTGCATGTCTGACTACCCGATCCTGTTAATCGCCTCTTACAACAAGCATGGGTTGCTGACAAAAATTCTAACCTGGATCCTCATGGATTAGCAATAAAATAATTCACACTGTAAAAATGAAAACAGGCCTTGACCCTTGGTCTTCAGACAACTCTAGCCACTGGACTTAACACTGTCCTCAGTGAATGTTGCTGGTTTCACCTACAAGTAATCACTGTACAGTAATGCACCATGTTCGTGGTGTGGAGTCTGTGTGGTATCGAACAAATTCATTGGCATCACTGTGGTGTAGATGTGGCATGGAATGATGGCCTTGTTTCTATGACAACCACGCCATGCCGTCAGGGTGTATGGTTATCACAGGGTGCTGGAGTGGTGTGACTTGACATCAAGACATCTCCATACTTTCAGAGTCGTCATCGCTCAGATCCCAGACCTGCTCAGAAAAGAACAAACTTTTGGCATGGTGTTGACATTTAAATGTCTTCAGTATCTTTTTCATGGTAGCTTTCCCCTCTGAAACCTGACATCTACCCAAAATCTGAATAATTGTTGCATATCTCACTTAATTTATTGTAAACAGAGACAAAAGCTTCTACAGTAACAAGCATGACCTGTCACAGACGTACACACTGACCTCTACCTTGTACAGATATGGACCATGACAACAGTGACTGATCCTGGTCCCATACTCCGGGTACTGACCTTGCCCTCTTGCAGGTTCTGACCTTGACCTCTTACAGCTATTGACCTTGACCTCTTACAGATACATATCTCTTGTGCTACTTTAGGTACTGACCTTGGCTTTAACACCAACCTTTTTCTACAAATATCAACTACCACACTAGTAACCCAGTCCCCTATATGTATATTGATCTCAACCTTACTCCCTCTCCTACATATATCCTCTACCACAGATCCCACCCTCTCACACAGACACCGACCTCAGCATCCAGAGTCTCCTGCTGCATCTGTGTGAGTCCGGTCAGGTCCTCCAGGTAGTTGGGTTCATTGAACGCACGCAGCAGAAACTGGAAGCCTTCCTTCTTGTAGGACTCCAGCACCTGCAGCAGCACACACAACCTTCATGTATCTACACACAGAGCCACGCTGCCATTTTTCTAGCACTTCATGTGACTAAGAACAACTGAATCTCAAGGCAAACCAGTGACTGGTTATATGAGCCATGGGTGGAAATAACTTTAAAATTGCTAGTGTACTCCGGTACAGTGGCACATGTAAAATCACTTGCCCTGATAAGTTTTCCACTATACCGTCCATGTTCTTGCTGATTTTTAAAATAAACAACATTATTAACATTGGAAAGTCAACTGGACACCGGTACAGCGTGATATACAAATTTGCTTGCCCGACGGAAAAAAACACTGGACTCGGACGTCGGGCAATGGGTTATTTCCACACCTGTGAGCAATGATTTAAACCACATCATCAGGTCATGTACTGTAACTATCAAATCCTCATGAGCTGGGAGTTCTGTTCCACTGTGGCTTATAGGCAAACAGAAAGGTTAGGTTGGATGAGATGAGAACATGAAGAGTCTCACCATGGTTGAGCAGGCAGTGCACTTGTCGAAGACCCGACTAGCGGGAAGAACATGATGGTATCTAGACAGGAACCCACGTATCTATAACAAACATTGAAAGAGTGAGTGTTGGCTTGATATTTCAAGTACCTCAACATCAGGATGATACCTTGCCAGGCTCTTACTAGACACTCCATGAATGAAGGAGCTGGGTTTTAATGGCGCTCACGGTGCTAACAATCAGAGACATAAGTGAGGCCAATTGGGTTTGAAGCCATGATTGTACATGATTGTGCCAAAAGGATGCAGCTTTACAAATTGTGGCTTCTTACACAACTCGTGCCATTCTCCACAGGCCCATCCATGAAATGATGCACTGTCCATGAATTGAAAAGCAAACAGTTAAACAACACTGACAAGAGGGGTCATATGATGTAGTCCTCAAAGTAACCATCTTTCTGGTTCGGTAAAACTGCTGGTATATGTTTATGATTATAAAGACAGTAGCAAGATAGTTATAAAACAGACCAATTTTGCAAGTAAACTCTTCCCCGTTCTGGACATTTTGATGATGCAGAGGTATACATATATTCACAGCTTGTTAACAGACTGTGTGTTGTTAAACATTGTACTGAGCAATAATGCAGCTTTGTGATGGTCAGTAAATAATCAAGTTTTGACCAGACAGGTTACTGATTGACATCATGACAGCGTTCGAAATACCTGCCTGCCTGACCGCCTGGGATGGGTTATTTTCAACACGGACTGCCAGATTCTCAAATACACCTGCCCGATGGTCGGGTTAAAATTTTGACATGTATATAAAGATAGTTTGTGGGCAGGTAAGTTTTGGTCAGGACTGGCAGGTTTTACATCTAACCAGCCCTGTGGTCTGGCTGAAAGTTTTGGGAGTTTCATACCCTGATGATGAGTATCGATCTTGGCAATAGGGTCATAATCACAAGTGTCAACCATTTCATCAAGATTGACCAACTGATCTCACAAGTTTCTCTTCCATGAAGAATGGGTTGCTGGGCCTAGATTTTCGACGCTCTCTTAGCGCTAATATAGTCGTAAGTGCCATACATTAACATTAACTTACGACTATCTTAGCACTAAGAGAACTTCGAAAATCTAGGCCCAGGAGACACATTCTAACCTGTATGTTCATGGGGTTCTTCATTTTGGAAGAAACTGAAGTTGCACATCACTGGTCTTATTCAGGGAATTAATAGTGAAAGAGACCATGAAAACTAAACTTTTGTATTAAATTGACAAAACATTGACATGCTGTTAATGACCTGTCAGTCATTCTCTCACTGGAATATGTGTTACTGGTATGCATCTGCTAAAACTCAAACTGCCCTACCTGGTGAGGGACAAGTCCTAGAGAACAGTCAGACTCTCGGTACATGTCATCATTGGAGGTGGTGTCCGCTGGGGCCTCGGGTCTGGCAACAAGCAAACAGATAACTTGATTTCAAAATATGTATTAGATACACAAAATATCTATCAGATACATAGAAATTCTTATGATTATGGCTAAATACTTGTTTTTTTTTTTTATCACACTTCAATTTCACAAGAGTTTCAATGGTTATTTTCAGGTCACAATGGGGGTGGGGGTGGGGTGTGCACGCCCCCCAGTTTAATTTTGAAATCCAACCAATTTTACAACATCTTGAACATTGAGATGGTAGACTCTCCCAGCTACCTACCCTTTGGGTGACAGAGTTATCTCCCCTTTGAATGAGAGACTGTCAGAGTTACCTACCCTTTAGGATGTTGCAGGACAGACACCAGGAGCTCCACGGCCAGAGCACCGGCTATCATGGAGATGCCAGGCCTGGTGACGGTACATTGTTGGTCAAGCGTCCGGTCCCTTGTGGACTACATCCAGAATACAAGAAAACACATGAGCATCCATGTCACAATCTCATCCACATAGAGAAATCACTTCCATTCAATATTTGACGTGCATAGTATGTTGTCAAAAAGATTGATGACATACCACTCAAAAGAACATAAGAACACCGGAATCTTTCATTTTACACTAGCCACCCGTCATGCCATGACTGATTACTATAGCACGATGAAATCAAGTGTTCTTTGACAGTATATTTTGTTCATTTATTTTTAAACGATTATTCTAACACGATTCATAATTTCCAAATTTATAACTTGGTTTATGATTATTATACCATAATCTACCAATATTACCACTTTTGAGTAATTTACCCACAGCAAACTAATGGTCGATAATATGAACATAAATCTAAGCAGATAAATGTTAGATGACAATTGATCTAGTTTTCTCATTTAAATACCACTCAGCAGTCACTGTATCCAGCCAATCCCCATTTCAGTCCTTCCATACAAACAAATGACGGAACTATTCTCTTGCATGGAACAAGGAACTCTCATTGCCATAGCAACAAAACACTTTTTGCTGAAGACCTAGAGTCAAAGACATATTTCCTCACATTGCCTGGAGCTACAACATCATTGCAGAAGTAGCACCCTAGCTGACATCCAGGAATGGTGGTTGTCATGGAAATGGGTCCAGGAGGTATTGCACTTTCAGCCGTCTTGTAACCATGACGAATGACGAGGAATGTATCAAAGCCTAGAGCTGCATTCATGACAATCTGAAACATGAAACAACCAGTTAAATATGAAACATGAAAACCTTGTTCATCTTAGTGTTATGGACATGTCCTTAAATATTTAACACAACTACTGCAACCATAGAGAAAGAACACAGAGAAATCATAGTGCTGAGTCTTTGTGTACAACTTGTCAGGAACCTTTCTTCAGCAGCTTCCAAGTCCTCCTCAAGCCAGACCTATCTGTGGTTTCATGGACAGAGGGGCGGTGGGATAGCCTAGTATTTAAAGTGTTCGCTCATCATGCCGAAGGCCCATGTTCGATTCCCCATACGGGTACAATGTGTGAAACCTATTTCTGGTGTCTCCCGCCATGATATTGCTGGAATATTGCTAAAAGCTCCATAACACTGAACTCACTCACTCACTCATGAATAGAGCATCTGCCTGGAGAATGATGGTTCCATTGCCTAGCCAAAAGATGTACTTGTTGTTAACTTGCCTTGTACTTGACGTGAAAGGCATAATTCACAGACTGGTCAGCTCAATATGACTTGGAATCCTGAGTGGGAATCCATTTTAAACTGTGGCTAGAGCGCTGTAGTTTCATGGATAGAACATCTGGCAGGAGAATGATGGTTCCATTGTCTAGCATGAAGGGCATAATGCATAGACTGGTGGGATCATAGTGGGGTATCCATTTAAACTGCAGCATGCTATATCCGTGAGTTTGTACCAAGAAGCTTAAACATCTTTTGGTATGAAACAGAAGGGGATCAAAACACTTATATTCCACTCTCCGCCAGACTCTCTACCCACTTAACCACTGAGATGTTGTAACATTCTTCAGCCAGGAAATACACATGGATCCTCATCTATTGAATACCAGGCCTGACATTTCCCATGATAACAGATTTAGAGAAAATGTCCAAATGTTAACCAGTTGGGTGATCCTGAAAAGTTGCACTCCCTTTACCAATGTGACACTGTCAGTAGAATATTGGATGTAGAGTCCCTGGTCATTGTTCCTCTTACACGAAGTCTCAAGGTTCTCACACCCCTGTCCTGTGTGGTCAGTGATCCCTACCTTCTGCTTGACCCCTCCAAGGACAGTGGGCAGCCAGCGACTCTCTCTGGTGTCCATCAACAGGAACAGCACATCATGGCTCTCTACCAACTTCTCTAACGTCTCGACGTCCTGTCGTACAGTCTCTACAGAACTCTCTGTCACAAACAGGAGACGTGATAATGAATAATTTGCCAATATCAAACCTATGGTATTCTTTCAAAAAGATGTCCACCACTTTGTGAAGCTGACAACCAAGAAACATAATCAGGTGACGCAGGATTTGAAATATGGCATAGTTTCCTGGTATGCCAAGGGGGCATAACTCTGCACAGTAAATTGTGGTGCCACAGACTAGGCCCATATATCCTCCTGATCATGAGTGAGTGAGGTTGGGTTAAAACAGGGTTTAATGTCTAGCTGTAGACAAAAATGTAATTTTCTGAGTAAAATTGATATTTTATACTTATCCTGACTCATGCTCTTTTGCTTGTCCCCTTCCTCTTGCGAACATAGTGGAACACTTGTATCTCCTTAATTGAAGCTCCCTTCAATGTAAAATCACTAATTGGTACTCACCCACGAGTTACCTCCCCTGCCGTAAGCGCGGGAACAGGTGTCGCCACCCTCTGGCCTCATGCTTCACTCTCTCCTGATTTTTCTTGCCCAACACTTGAATTTACAGGAAATCCAAAGTGTTATGTTGGGAGGATGGAGGAGCTATTCCATGAGTCAGGATAAGTATAAAATATCAATTTTACTCAGAAAATTACATATTTTCCTTATCCTGACTCATGCTCTTTGTTGTAGAATCCACGGAGAGGTGGTGGGTAAACAGAATACTTTGGATTAATTAGTGATTTAAGTAAGTGATATTGTAATAACCCCTGCAGGGAACTTCATAAGGCATTGAGACTTAGGATATTTCCTTATAATAAGCCATAGATATATATACTGCTATAAGTGGGGTATTACCTTACTAATATACTGATATATCAATATATATATATAAACTGCTACTCTAGCGTGGCTGTACACTGAATATAACTCAGTATGAGCTTAAGGTTGAATAACCTAAGCTAAATATGTACATAGCCCTAGAACTCCATGGAGTTATAATCTAGTGAATATATGTATCATATATCTAATAATCTCGTGGGGAATGAATATTAAGCCTCACGAGGGACTCATCAATTTGCTGAAGCGAGGACCAAAGGACCTAAATGATGAATGCCAGAGGCGTCCCTCGGTGGTGATATCTCTGAGATAGTGATTAGCAAACACCATATTAGATTTCCAAAAGCATCCTTCCATAATTGTATTCAATGAACGAGTTACCATGAAGAGGAGCGTGGATGCCAATGCCCTGATTTCATGAGGATTTGATGCTGTTGGAGGGTCCAGTCCTGCTGCCTTATAAGAGGCGTAAAATGACAGTTCTTATCCATATTGATATGGTGAGTGCGAGAGACTTCTGTCTGATTTTGTATGGCGATATGGGGATGAACAATCTTCTGAAGCGATCTTAGCCTTGTTTTGGAAACGGCGTAAATAGATTATGAGAGCTCGTACTGGGCATAGAGATAAGTCCAATGTATCTTGAGATCCAAGAATTGAGGATAAGCGCCTTAAGGGATGTGAAATAACCTGTCTGGTTGACCTGGTAGTTGATTTTTAGCGATGAAATCCCATCTTAATCCCAGATGCTGTGTCTTTTGATTTTCATCAAACTGTATCCTCTCATAATCTAGAGCATGAATTTCAGATATTCTGGCTGCCGTGGCTTCTTGATAACAGGAAGACTGTTTTCTGTGAGAGAAATTCAAAGCGTTGTTCGATTCCAATGGTTCGTAATCCTCACTTGTGAGGTGTCAGTAAAACTACATTCAGATCCCAAGCTGGGCGTGGAATTTCCGCTTTTGGTCCTCCAATCGGGAAGCACGTTAGTAAGGCCAGTAACTCTGGTGTTCTTGTTAATTTAACACCCGTTCTCATAGAAATCCCGCAGAACCAAGCGGCAAGATATGTTGACAATGTCGAAGCCTTTTAAATGTTTGTTTTGCCGTAAGTAACACAAATAGTCTGCCACTTGAGGATCTCAAAGTGGCATCTCGCTGTAAAACCCTTGTTTGTTGCATAATTTTTCAAACTTTGCCACTTGTCAATCGTACATTGCCAGTTGAGTATGCTCGTAAGGCAAAGCGTGACGGCTTTTGCGCCCTGGTAGAATATCCTCTCTTGTTTAAACACATTTTAATACAGTCCATCCGCGTGAAGTTTGAATACTTCTGGGTTTCTGTGCACCTGTTTGGTGTGAGGATGTAATTAACAGGTTTATGCAGCAGGTAGTTCTAGTGCCGGTTGACCGATATCTTGTATTAAGGTGGAAACCGCGTTCTGGCCGAAGCCAATAGGGCGACCAAAGTGAGTTGTAGGCTCTGCGTTTGGTTGATTTTCTGTAATACTAGAGGTATTATTGTTGGGGCGGAAGCAGCGTGACGCGTGAGGCCTTCCCATGAAATGCTTAAATCGTCTGTTGCCCATGCTTGTGGGTCTGGCACTGGTGACACGAATGTCGGTAGTTGATTGTTGAACCTTGTGGCGAATAGATCTACTAGGCGGCTCCTATTTGCTTGATTATCTGTGCAAATATCTCTGTATTGAGCATCCATTCTGTCGCCGCACGGTAGATGTGGCCGAAGAGTCGCTGTCTGCTAGTATATTCCTGGCTCCGGAATGTGGCATGCTTTGACATGTAGATTTAGATCTTGGATTAATTAGAACAGTTGAAAGGTTAAATTCAAAAGGTTCGCCATCTCGATTGAGCCTTGTCTGTTCACATAAAACGCCACTGTCGGAGTTGTCGGTATGTATCATCAGGTGCGCATTCTGTAGAATGTTGCTCAATGTCTTATGGCGTTGATTACAGCTTTCATCTCTAATGCGTTTTATGTGGAGTTTGCTTTCTAGCTGAGTCCATAACCCTGATGCCGTCGGTTGGAGATGAGCTCCCCAACCTTGGAGCGGAACACGCATCCTACATATAGATGGGTCTTGAATTCCTGCTCTGCTAAACAAATCCCTTACGCTTGGACATTCGATTTCTTTGTCCACCATAATAGATGAGGTCTGAGATGTATCGGTAGACTGAATGGTTGTAGGTCGTCGAGATGTGTATTGGCGAAGACCTGTAACGGGGCATCAGTAACTGTAATCTGCCTATGACTGTCAAGTCTTGGGCTGATGTTAGAAGACCTAGTAAGCTCTGCCATTGTAGAAGTGGTAGCGGTGACAGTAGAGCTGGTGGAATGATCTGTTGGATCTTGAGCCAACGGTCTTCTGAATGCGACTTATCACGGTTGAAGATTGGTGATAAATCGGATTCTAGGAATTGCAGATCTTGGCGATGGTACTAGGTCCGACTTGTGTAAGTTTACTAACCATCCCAGCTGTGTTAGTAGCTTTATGATGTAGTTTAACTGTAGTTTGAGATGCTGTGGATCTTGATCTACTTGTATCCCGTCGTCGAGGAAAGAGCGCACTGCGTAGCCCTTGAGCGATGTAGATAGATAACAATCGGGTTCGTTATCCTCGAATGAATAACCATGGGGCTGATGCTATTCAGGTAAGAATTACTTTCCACTGGTAATGTAACCCGTCTAAGCGTAAACCGAGAAGGTATTTCCTGGATTCGGGATATGTATTGGGATGTGCAGATAAGCATCTTGTAGATCTATACTGCCCATGTAGTCCATGGGGCTTAATCATCTGCCGTAGCTGCGGTAGATGTAGCATAGTGAACCTGGGTGGTTTGTTTAAGTAAGTCTTGTTGAAGAAGCTCATGTTGTAAAATGAGTCTGTATTTCTCCTTGGAGTTCTTCTTGGGTACTAGGAAAACTGGGGAGTAGAAACCTGGTTCGATGTTTCCTTGCTCTATTACTTCTATGGCCTGCTTGGTTAGGGAGTAATGTAACCGCCTCTTAACTTTAGTAGTTGTTGTGCTCTACCTCGAACTTGTGAGGGTTGACTGTTAGTGGAAGGCTTGGCCTGTAGTGGGATCTGAAACCAGCGTTGAAGAATGTTGGAGACATAGGTGTCTTGAAGTATTCCCCAGTTTTCCCAGTGTAGTTGAAGGCGTCCACCCACTTGTGGCGGTTGTACTGGAGGCGGGCTGGGGTGGAAGACTCCAGTCGTTCGAACCTGTCTTTCAGCGTTTATAGTTGCGGGAACCTCTGGGTGTCCTGCCTCGTCTCAGCTGACCCTCCTCTATAGTTTGCCATATGGGCTGAATTTAAAGAATCTCTTCCCTGGAACTGGCAATCTTCCTGTCTCTAGCTCTTTGTAGGCCCGTGAATTTAGATCTCCCTGAGTATCTTTGTGAAGAATCTGTCGAATGACACTGGCTAGCGATGTCCATCGATTTAATCATCAGGACTTCTCTAGAATCCTTGGTGACTTCTTTGGAGACTGTGTCTATTCCTCCGTCAAATATGGATGGGGAAGACCAGGGGCTGTATATAGTGGAGCTGTAAAGTTCTCACCCCAGTTGCAGGAAGCTAGGAGGCCTTGGCTGACGAGCTAAGGTCAGTGCTGCTGAGACAGGCGATCAGATGATCTGTTAAAACTGCTGGTCCTTCTTTTGCATCAGTAGGGCCGGAAGTAAATCATTCTGTCATCTTCAGAGGTCGTGGTGTTCGAAATCTGAGATAAGTGTCTCATTTATTGTTCTAGATCTATTTAGACCGAAGAACATCACGCTTCGTCATGGTTTCTATCTGAACCAATTTCCGATCATCAATCTTGTAGTACTTGTTCTTGGCATCGGAGATCAGCTTATAGTTCTCATCGATGTCTTGGCGCTTTGAAGAAAGAAGGTTCCATATTATGCGTGGAGAACTTCTTGGCGGCTGAAATTTAACAGATGTGGCGTCTGAACCTTTGTGGCTTTGTTAAATGCTGTATCTAGGTTCTGAGGTACCGCCGCAACGGATTCGATTAGGGGTAGTGTAATAGCATCTGGCGTCATCTTCTTTCATCAGATAAGTCATGCCTTATTGCCACTCTTGGAAGGTGATGAGAGATCTAGATTATTGACCATCCAATATCTTATCTCTGCATCTGAGAAAATAATTCCTCCATCATCTTCCATTCCATCATCATAGATAAGAGGTTGTTGCTCTTCTGATGTAGGGCTGTGTGGCTCTATCTCTATATCGTTTGAGCTTGTGGAGATCTAGTTGTAGGCTTATGTGCAGACCTGTGAGGTGATCGACGTGGTGATCGCGAGGTGATCGCCTTTGGTGATCTATATCGATAGGTTGACCTTCTTGGCGATCTATGAGGGACCCCTGATAGCCAGCGAAGCTCTTGTGTAGTCCCTTGCTGATCTTTTAGATGAAGACGATCTGGGTTCAGGTGTCCTTGAAACGCCTTAGCGAAGCCAAGCTTATCGTCGGTCCTGGGGAGCGATGATATGACCTTAGCGAGAAGGCTTGCGTGGTGGTCTGGTGATCAGATTCCATATCTGAGTATGACCGAAAGAAGGTGATGATTCTTCCCCGCCGAAGGAAGGCCTTCGGCTGCTGTACATCTGGAGTCCTTCTCGGCCGAGGTGGTCTGTGACTTCCTTCGAGCGCTGCATTGTCATCGCTGCTGCACGTTGACAGATGGTGCCCTGGGGTGCTGTCACGTTGGAGCCTTCGCTAAGGCTCGATCCTGGGATGGCTGCTTCTCCAGTCTATAGTGGCCTTCCATCATAATCATGATCTGTTTCATAAGATCGTTTGGGATGATCTGCGGCGTAGTAGATGGTGCCCTTTCTGCTGTGTTAGCGGTGGGGCCCTCAGCCATCTCGCCTGACATCAGTGTAGAGGCATCAGGCTGCTTGTTGATCTCTGCTGGCGTCACTGTCGCTGTCACTGGTCGCTTCTTGTGGCGTATGTCGGTATGATGATCGGCTGGTCATCGGTAGAGGCCCAATTCTGCTGCTGGAGCGATCTCGCCTGAGAAAGCTCTCTCGATGACTTCTCAGATTTCCCTTTGGAGGAAGACGCTGCCCTGGGGAGTCGGGTTCTGCTGTTGAAGACGCGTTGAGGCCCTCTTGGACTTTGTCTGCGATGACTGGATGTCTGGAGAGGCGGTCGCTTCTTAGAGGTGACGGACTGCATCCCACGTCCCTCTTCCGATGGGGTCTCAAGCAGAACACCAGACGGGAGGGATCACTCGACAGCAGTTGACTGGATGGGCAATCCGACGTATCGGCCATGTCTACACCTAGTTTGCGTGACCTATCTGCAACACGTCTCAAGGCGCAAAGATGGTATTTATCAAAGGCAGAATTGGTTAAATTTATGCAGTAACTGCAGCGTGAGTCAAACGCACAAAGGCGTAGTACAACTAGGGCATACCACATGCGGATCCGCTTGGCGGAAAAACGTAATCTACAAATAGGTACAGTTTTTCATCAATGTAAAACTAGCTGAACAATCACTTAACTCATTGAATAAACAGTAGAAATCACGATTAATTATTAACGCAAATAACTGAAGGATACTAGCTATACCTTTATAGTAAACTATAAAAGGTAACTAACTAAGAAAAACCAAAGGATATAGTGTGTAAGGAGACACAGACGCTCTCACATCCTGCTCACTGGGCGAAGAAGGAGAGAGTGAAGCATGAGGCCAGAGGGTGGCGACACCTGTTCCCGCCCTTACGGCAGGGGAGGTAACTCGTGGGTGAGTACCAATTAGTGATTTTACATTGAAGGGAGCTTCAATTAAGGAGATACAAGTGTTCCACTATGTTCGCAAGAGGAAGGGGACAAGCAAAAGAGCATGAGTCAGGATAAGGAAAAATACATGGCGATATGTTTGCATGCGTGTCTACCTGCTTGTACTAATCAGAACATATCCTGGTTTTATAGACCAGCCCATGAGACACAATGTCTTAGTTTCACATGGATTCTGACTCCAAGCCTACCAATCCTTATTTAAACCCCTTAATGCTATGCAGACAGGCTCGGATTTTATAAAGCATATTCTTTTAGCACCTTTTATTATCATGCAGCCAGGGAATTGAAATTTCTGCTCTGCAGGCAGATTCTCTATCCACAAAATCTCGGGGCAGTCTTAAACAATCAATGCCCTGAAGTACTGACCTGGTACTGAGTGCCCGGGCATAGGGATGGACAACGTTAAGCCTTTGGTGTCCTGAAACAGAGTGATGAGGAGATTATTTGGGAGACAAACATTATGTGATTTAGAATTGCAGGGGTTGCAAAGGAGTAACCTCATCTTTTTGAAAACTATTATACATACATACATACATACATACATACATACATACATACATACATACAATTAAAATGCAAATAACTAAATCAAGACTACTAAAAATATCTCCATTTTTCCAGTATGGTATGCAATAAATGCAACATTTTGAGCAGATATGAAATTAAATCCAAGTTTATTTGCAGTTTGAAACCACAAGTGGAAATTATCTAGTAGCCCAGTGACAAGTAAGATACCATTATTTGATTGCCCGAAATGAAAACTGACTTGTCCCGGGCATCAGGCGATGGGATTTTTGAACCCCTGCAGAATGGAACTAAAACATTCTGAATCCTTGTCAATATATTCAACTAATTTTGTTTTGTAGAGCTATTTCACTGAAAACTGGGCCATTTTCACCACTGTTTTATTAAAGTCAAGTTTGGCCCATTTGCCTGAGGTGATGAATTCCTCCGCAAAGTTAAAATTCAAAAACACTGACTCAAAAACACATGATGCAGTACAGTCTGCTAATACATCATTGTTATTAATACATTTAACAATTGTTTTGAATATATATAAAGCTGCTCACAGCTCCCGGGAATATCTTCCGGAGAGATTCTGCAGCAGCTTCTGCCTTGGGTCTGCCTCCGTTCAAGCAGTCTTCAAAAGTGAACAGTGACTGTCGTACTGGGTTGGAGTAGGATATTCGGGAGTTGTCGACAAATGTTATCTTCCTGATGCCCCAACCCTGCAAGAAACATGGACTTTCACTTTCCGCTTCGCTTTCAAGTGACCAGAAAATAATTAAAAAGAATTAGCCATGACCAAGATGGCATTGTTTAAGCAAGAACACATAATGCTTCTCTATGAAATCTATTTTCTATAAATCTCTATGACTATTTTGATGTTCACAAAAATTACCCACCATTCATGGAATTCAAAATAAGAATTAAAAACAAAACAACACATATATTAGTTTGTGGTGTACTGACCATGAGGCCCCGGGGCAACATTACACCCCAGAGTTCCAGAGCCAAGCAGCAGGACTTTAGTGGAGGAGATTTTCTCAAGGTCAAGGTCGGGAAGCAGACGCCATCTCATCAGCTTCAAGTTCAAGTCCACTGCTGACTCTGCTAATCTTAACACACATATACACATATATTTGTCTCAATCCTAGGCACTACTTAATCATCATCATCATCATCATCATCATCATCATCATTCAACAATACATGTAGTATATATGTTAACAACATATGTAGTATATAATATACTACAAACAAAAAGTATGGGAATACCCTCAAATTTGATAGCCATGCACAAACCTGACAGTGGTGGCTTCATTAATTCATAAAAGTGAAATGTATCTGTGACATGTGCTTAGTGGACACTTTAAAAGACATGTTAAAACAACAGATGAAACAATTGCTTCAATATCCGTGAAGTTTTGATGAAATTAAAAAAGTGTCCAAAACTGCAAAAGACGAAGGTGTCAAAACACACATGCACTGTGTCTGATTCAAACGCCCAAACACAACAACCTAGTGCACGTGAAAGACAGACTTCCCAGGCATGTTGTGGCAACTTTTCCTTAAAAGAAGCTGCAGACAGTGTTAAAGCCTCACAATTACCCCAACATGCCTCAGCGCAGACCATTAAACGACCACAACAAGAGCAGGGCCATTGCATGGCTAGAGGATGGTGAATCCTTAAGAGGCGTTGGTCGTCGTCTTCAGGTGTCCCCTTCCGTCATTCATAGGCTGAGGAAAGGTTCCAAACCACCGGCCGAGTACAAGACAGAGCTTGATCAGGAAGGCCACGAAAAACAACAAGGGCAGACGATCGATATGTTGTACTCCACGCCCTTAGGAACCGCTTCACAACTGCCAGTGCTCTATGGCTGCAGCTCAGACATGCAACCAACTCAAACATCAGCATCTCAACCATCAGGAACCGTCTCAGAGCTGCTAATGTACGGTCACGTTGTCTTCTCATCCCCACCCACATCATAGTGCTGCAAGACTGGCCTGGGCCAGAGCACATTTGAGATGGAATCAGCAACAGTGGTCCGGGGTACTCTTCACTGACGAAGTCACGATTCTGTCTTGAGCACAACGATGGAAGGATTAGGGTTTTCAGGAGGCGTGGAGAGCGTTACCATGATGATGCTACTGTGAGGGAGAGGAACAGATTTGGTGGTGGCTCTGTGATGGTTTGGGAGGCTTCAGCTTACATCACCGCGTACTCCTCTGTACCATGTACAGGGCAATTTGACTGGATTGAGGTACCGGATGAGATTCTGCGTCCTCTGGTTCTTCCAGCTTTGAACACCATTGGTGCCGGAGCACAGCTGCAAGATGACAATGCCAGACCACATCGAAACTCGAGTCGTTAGAGACTTCTTGCAACAAAATAATGTGAATGTGATGCAGTGGCCAGCTGATTCACCGGATCTGGCTCCAATTGAACATCTATCGGACATTCTTGGACGACGTGTTAGAGACAATCATGGCATGGCACCGACTCTTCAGGTTCTTGTACAGTGGCTCCAGATGGAATGGCAGTTGATTCCCCAAGCTACCCTCCGCACCCTTGTCAGGTCCATGAGGCGCAGATGTACAGAATGCATCAATCAACGTGGAGGACACACCCAATATTGATACTGTGACTTTCAGTTTTGACCCCTATCCTCTTCCGCTGCTTGTACTGGCATTGCAGTCAATGATATCTGCCCATAAATCCATTACATTTTAAGAACAAATAATGTTTTATTTACCCTTGTAATAAACCGACCCTGCCACTTTAAATTTACTTTGTTATACTTTGATATTTGGGTGTTCCCATACTTATTGTCGGTAGTATATGTTAACAATACAATACAGGTAGTATATGATATGTTAACAATACAATACATGTAGTATATAACATGTTAACAATACATGTAGCAATGCATATACAGTGCACTCTGTCAAACTCGGACTCTGTCTTTCTCGGATTGCTGTATAAACAGGACTAAACTCACGGTCCTGACGTAATCCTTCTTTGTTGTCATAATAAAAAAAGTTCTGTATCTCGGACTCTCATTATTTTGGATTTCGGACCAAAGTGTCGGCCCGATAATGTTGTTACATGTAAAAACATTGGTATATAATTCGGACTGAGCAGGAAGTCCGCTTGGCCAATAAACCTTGAATGAACAATCCGTTGATTGGTTTGTGTATTTTGTCTTATTTACTTAGCAGGAAGTGGGCTTGACCAAGACCGCTTGGTCTACCGGTGAACGCGATTAACACCAATTGTAAACTATAATTGAGCTGATCATGTCAACTCAGTGTCAATGTCACTATGTATTTAAGATGCCATCAGACACAGTGTGATATCAATCAGGTCAAAATGTCCGAGCGACCACGAAAACGCCTGTGTACTGAATTGTCACTTGTAACCAAGATAAATCTAATCAATGATTCTGAAGCTATTCCAAAGATTTTACAGAAAGACTTGGCCGTTAAATACCAGATAAGCTAACAAACTGTATCTGACATTTTGAAGAAAAAGGAAGACTACAGATCACAGTTTGAAGCAAATGTGTTTCATGCACAATCGTATGTTCATCAAAGGGAGATAACTCCATTAAAATCTGTGTACTTCGGACTTCTGTATAATTCAGACTTTTTAGTCGGTGCCAAGCTGGTCCGAATTAGACAGAGTGCCCTGTAATAGGTAAACAATACATGTAGCATATAATATGTTAACAATATAATACATGTATATATGTTAACAATACATGTAGTATATGTTAACAATACAATACAGGTAGTATATATGTGAACAATACAATACATGTAGTATATATATAACATGTTAACAATAAATGTAGTATATAATATGTTAACAATACAATACATATGTTAACAATACAATATGTGCTTACCTAGTTGGGTCCATGCTAGACGACAGGTTCACCATCCGGGGGCCCAGTTTTTGTCGCTCATTCTTCTCCCAACCCACGCACTTCGGACACTCTGGAAGCAAAGGTATCCCTTGACACTTGGCGAAACACAAATTCAAATTGCAAAATGTTCCCATAAAAGTCCATGGTTATAAAAATTCCTTGCTTGAGATTTGGATCTACTGACCTGTCTGAGCAGACAGTGAAGTGAGGGTAATGTTGAAGACGAGGCTGTGGCTGATGTCACGCACGCCATCACGAGTCCGGTCCCGGAGACACAACACCTCGATCTCACCCAACTTATCTCCCCTGAATGAACACAACCAAGAGACATTTGTGTAGACATTATCATATCACTTAAAACAATGGTGCATACTTTGAAATATTTGACTTTTGGTTCAGCAAATGAGATTAAATTGACTTTTTTTTTCATTGATGCAATCATACACATATGCGCCATAAACTTGGTGCTTCTTGAATTGCAATCTCTTGAGGAACAATGTGTTATGTGCCAAATCTTTGAAGGGCATTAACAAGTGGAATGCATAAGAAAAGCAACATTTATGGATGTCAAGTTCTTTATTGTGAACAACACGAGGTTTTGGAGTGGATCTGATGGAAGGAGCAAGCATAGACTCCGAAACGTCGTGTTATTCACAAGGAAGTTGACATCCATAAATCTTGCTTTTCCTATCCTGTCAGTGTATGGAATAAGCCCAAAATCCACCCAGACAACTGGGCTGGTAACTTCAAAATGTTACCAGCCCAAAATGGATTTAACCAGACCAGACACCAAGATATGGTGAATTTGCTCAGATGTATGGAACATCTAAACTTTTGACCAGACCATCGGGCTGGCTAGCTGTAAATTTAGACCGTCCATCAGAAATCTAGCCAGTTTCGGTCTGTCGGACGGGCCTTATTTCATACACTGGTAATGTGCCCTAACTTCAAAAGAAAGAAGTTACGTGCATGCATGTGTGTGTCTATCACTCGTTTTGTTCTGGGGGGTCATCAATAAATTCCATATTACTACTCACCATCTATGAGCTATGACAGTGAGGAAGTTGCGGAGCGGCCAGCCAGGATGTTTATCCAGGGTACAGGGGTCACAGAAGCCAAACATCACCTTGCCCTGGACAAACAGCAGTATGTACTTGCAGAGGATGAATATACAAACTTAATTCTTTTCTTGAACTTTAGCTTTCTAATTCTCATGCTTAACTGAAACTTTTCAATTCTCTTAGAGGCACCATCAGTTGTTCACAGATTCATAGGCCTCAAAACACTCATAAGACAAGAAAAAAAAGTTAACAGAAAAAAAATCAAAACGATAAAGTGTACAGGTTGTAGTTTGATCAAGCAAGTAAATATGACAAAAACTGTATAATGTTAATCATCATACACTATATACTGGTTCTTTAAAGTACTCTATAAACTGGTTCTTTAAAGTACTCTATATACTGGTTCTTTAAAGTACTCTATATACTGGTTCTTTAAAGTACTCTATATACTGGTTCTTTAAAGTATACTATATACTGGTTCTTTAAAGTACTCTATAAACTGGTTCTTTAAAGTACTCTATATACTGGTTCTTAAAAGTACTCTATATACTGGTTCTTAAAAGTATACTATATACTGGTTCTTAAAAGTATACTATATACTGGTTCTTAAAAGTACACTATATACTGGTTCTTTAAAGTACTCTATATACTGGTTCTTAAAAGTACACTATATACTGGTTCTTTAAAGTACTCTATATACTGGTTCTTTAAAGTACTCTATATACTGGTTCTTTAAAGTACTCTATAAACTGGTTCTTAAAAGTACTCTATATACTGGTTCTTAAAAGTACACTATATACTGGTTCTTTAAAGTACTCTATATACTGGTTCTTTAAAGTACTCTATATACTGGTTCTTAAAAGTACACTATATAAACTGGTTCTTAAAAGTACACTATATACTGGTTCTTTAAAGTACTCTATATACTGGTTCTTTAAAGTACACTATATACTGGTTCTTTAAAGTACTCTATATACTGGTTCTTAAAAGTACACTATATACTGGTTCTTTAAAGTACTCTATATACTGGTTCTTTAAAGTACTCTATATACTGGTTCTTTAAAGTACTCTATAAACTGGTTCTTAAAAGTACTCTATATACTGGTTCTTTAAAGTACTCTATATACTGGTTCTTAAAAGTATACTATATACTGGTTCTTTAAAGTACTCTATATACTGGTTATTAAAAGTACTCTATATACTGGTTCTTAAAAGTACTCTATATACTGGTTCTTTAAAGTACTCTATATACTGGTTCTTTAAAGTACTCTATATACTGGTTCTTTAAAGTACTCTATATACTGGTTCTTTAAAGTACTCTATATACTGGTTCTTTAAAGTACTCTATATACTGGTTCTTTAAAGTACTCTATATACTGGTTCTTTAAAGTACTCTATATACTGGTTCTTAAAAGTATACTATATACTGGTTCTTTAAAGTACTCTATATACTGGTTCTTTAAAGTATACTATATACTGGTTCTTTAAAGTACTCTATATACTGGTTCTTAAAAGTATACTATATACTGGTTCTTTAAAGTACTCTATATACTGGTTCTTAAAAGTACACTATATACTGGTTCTTTAAAGTACACTATATACTGGTTCTTAAAAGTACACTATATACTGGTTCTTAAAAGTACTCTATATACTGGTTCTTTAAAGTACACTATATACTGGTTCTTTAAAGTACTCTATAAACTGGTTCTTTAAAGTACTCTATATACTGGTTCTTTAAAGTACTCTATATACTGGTTCTTTAAAGTACTCTATATACTGGTTCTTTAAAGTACTCTATAAACTGGTTCTTAAAAGTACTCTATATACTGGTTCTTAAAAGTATACTATATACTGGTTCTTAAAAGTACTCTATATACTGGTTCTTTAAAGTATACTATATACTGGTTCTTTAAAGTACTCTATAAACTGGTTCTTAAAAGTACTCTATATACTGGTTCTTTAAAGTACTCTATATACTGGTTCTTTAAAGTACTCTATAAACTGGTTCTTAAAAGTACTCTATATACTGGTTCTTAAAAGTATACTATATACTGGTTCTTAAAAGTACACTATATACTGGTTCTTAAAAGTACTCTATATACTGGTTCTTAAAAGTACACTATATACTGGTTCTTAAAAGTACTCTATAAACTGGTTCTTTAAAGTACTCTATATACTGGTTCTTTAAAGTACTCTATATACTGGTTCTTTAAAGTACTCTATATACTGGTTCTTTAAAGTACACTATATACTGGTTCTTAAAAGTACTCTATATACTGGTTCTTTAAAGTACTTATACTCTATATACTGGTTCTTTAAAGTACTCTATATACTGGTTCTTTAAAGTACTCTATATACTGGTTCTTAAAAGTACTCTATATACTGGTTCTTTAAAGTACTCTATATACTGGTTCTTTAAAGTACTCTATATACTGGTTCTTAAAAGTATACTATATACTGGTTCTTAAAAGTACATGAACGTCAACTGGTTTTAGCAAGAATATGCAAGATGAAAAGGCTGTTTACAAAGTTCTAAGCCTAAAGCCTAACATACAAAGGCATTTAATAAAGCTTAATATTTCATTGTGGACATTACATGACGTCATAGAGGGATATCAACAAAAACCGTGCATAGTTTTGCTGTGTAATAGAAGCAGGGGGTCATTGACCGTTAACCTTTGACCTTTCAACATAGGGCAAACATGCAATGATTAAGTACTTGCAGATTGTTGTTTGGCTAAGAGGTGAACCCATGTTTTACTTATAATATTATCAGTCAACCTTTGTACATGAAGTTCATTATATTTTACCATTCTTTACCTTTCCTATGTCTGTGACACTGAGTGTTTTCAATTCCTGAACCAGCACAGCATCCCCTGACTCCCTGACGGTGAAGAACCCCTGAAAACAGTCTCTACCTGCCTGGAAGGCATCGTACGAGGTCAGAAAAGACTTCACCTGTAAAGGAAAAATACACCTGATACACCCTGTATATAACTGGTTCAACTTGTAACAGTTAACAAATGTTTAAAACATATGCATGTGCACATACAATATCTCACCAGTTCTAAATAACATACTGTTAGATTTCTATGTTATTAGACCACTCCCTGACGTGGATGCAAACCTATGAAGATCTAGGTTAAAAGTGATCCTCAGTAACCCATGCTTTTTGTAAGGGGCGACTAAATTGATTGGGTGGTCAGTAGGGCTGCAACGAACACACCATCTGGCGAATATGATACATATAATGAATATTGGGTAACGAATACGAATAATTATTCACAAATACAATATTGTAGTTAAGTGATTGATGTACAATATGGTACGCCCATGTTGACAGTGTTAATTTGTCACAGCAATAACCAGTGATTTCATGACACTCAAATTTGGTATGTAATAGTTATAGATGACAGTACCATGTGCGGCCTTGGCAAACTAACATGACTTGCGCTACTGCAAGGCTAGTACATATTCCATAACTCAATATCTCACTTTGAAAAAGGACATGAGGGTTCAAGTAAAACATGCTCCCTTAAAAAAATCGTAAGTATTCATTAATATTCGGTTCTGGTGACCATAAATAACGAATTGAATTCATGAAGGGCTACGGTTCGATTCACCGAATATGTGAGTGAATCAATACAGCCTTAGTGGTCAGACTTGCTGACTCAGGTAATGCATGTCATCGCATCCCAACTGCGTAGATCGATGCTCATGCTGTTGATCACTGGATTGTCTGGTCCAGAATTGATTACATGTATTTACAGACCACCACCATATAGCTGCAATATTACTGATTGCGGTGTTAAACAACAAACAAACAAAACTTAACTAAGAACCAGGCTAGCTATTCTCGAAACGTTCGTAGCCCTACGAACTTCTTAAGCCCATTCTTAACACATACGCTACGATCAACATTAAGAATTCTTAGGTCTACGAACGTTTCGAGAATAGGGGCCCTGACCACCCAAACCAGTTAGTCTTAGGGGCATGGTGGGTGAGCTGGCTAAGGTGCCAGGCTACTGATCCAGCGAGCATGTGGTGCCGGTATCGAGCCCACCTGTGGCCGGGTGTAAAAACCCTGAAGTCAACTTTGTGTGCAGACTCTTTCAGTGTTGTCACAACCCTTAGTGTACAGTACACAACCCTGTGCACTTAAAAGAACCCACGAATTTGTTGGTAAATGACCAGATGGTGGCCACATGAATTTGTGCAAACACCTAGTTGTGGGTACAGCAACGTGCAGTAAACTTTGACAAAGTACTGTGACTATGTGTCCCAGTCCACCCAGCTGTGAATGGGTACCTCATAAGGATGGGAAAGCTGTAATAACTCGGTGCGCCTAGTGGCTGCAAGAGTTGTATACTCCCTAGGGACCTGAGATTGATAATAAGATGTGCCGTTGAGATTCACATCCAATGATCGAGGGAAAAAATACCAGCACCTTGAGCATGAACTAAAGCGTGGATATGTGCGCTATATAAATATCCTATAATAATAATAACATTATTTTACAGACCAATTCTAACCAAGAATCCCCACTGGGAGCATAGCCAGTACCTGTTCTGGTGAGAACCTGCCATCCAGAGCCTTGGGTGCGGAGGAGACTGTGTTTTCTGGTGCTGTCAGACATGGGAATGCAAACCAGTAGTAGTAGTTGTATTTCTTCAGATCCTGAAAATATAGTTTATACAGTAGTGAGTGATCAGTGGACATGGGGTATAAAAACATCTTTCCTGGCACAACCTGCTGCAGTTAACAATATATACATGATTGCAAACTTATAGCACTAGGTTCCTGGCAGAATTATGCTCAAAGAACATAATACTCCTCTGTTAACAGATATTTTATATTCCCTGCTCTGGTGGAAGTAAACAACTCTGCCTGAGGATAATTGCCTGTTAAGTACTGAAAGGTTTTGCTTTCACATAAGCATCTAATCCTACCAGGTACCCATTCACTGCTTAGTGGATTCAGGGTGAGGTAGAATAAGGGACTGATACACTCTCTGGAGATAATGAGTCTTCATCTTCAACACCAGGTGGGGTAGCCTAATGGTTTAGGTGTCCACTTGTCACGCTGAAGACCCAGGTTCGATTCCCCACATGGGTACAATGAGTGATGCCCATTTCTGGTGTCCCCGCTGTGATATTGCTAGAATATTGCTAAAAGCGGCATAAAACCAAACTCACCCACTCACTCACTGGAGATAACCACTGAGTCATCATCAACAACAACACCAGCGACAACATGAACATCATCACTTACAGCATGAGTGAGAAGAAGGAATCTGGACAGGAGTGAAGGATCATCTACGGCTCTGCCACTAATTATGTCATCCCAGATCTGAAACAAATCAACATTGATTCACTGATAGGAATCGTAATCAGATAATATTTGGTTCACAAGCCTGTGTGAATTTTGTACATGTTTTGCTTGTAAGAATAATGTTAATAATTCATCAAAACTAAAGTGACTATTTTGCAGATGTAAAACCTGTGTAACTAAAGAGCCCTATAATGAAACATACCTGCTTCCCTGCAGTTTCAAGTAACTCTTTTCTTGTCGCATTCCTTGAATTTTTCCAGTGTATTTGTGTTCTGGATAGAGCCCTTGCTGGGAAGACATCGAGGTGGCGTCTTCCATTCACTAGAAAAAAAGTAATATCCTGGCTCCTCATCTTAGAAATCCCTTAAGACAAGCAAGGTGTGCCGAAGACCTTTATTCTTCCCCCTGTATCCCAAACTCTCATAGCTTCACAGATAATCAATAATAAACATACTGAGAGACCTTAAAAAATAGGACCTTCCTTTTTCTCTAAAATCAATTTGGGAAGATAATGAAGCATTCATAAAATATACAGCTTTGTCTGATGTGTAGGTCAGCCATCAATATATTATCATGATTACCCGTAAACTTTACTAGATTGCTTTTATATTTGTAGCTCTTGTCAATACAAAACTAACAATATATACTTGAGTATGATAACAATGGGGACACAACACATCTTGTATACCTGTCAAAAGCTGTAAAGTCCACAGACAGTCGAGGAGCTATTCCTGCTGGATCCCCTGAAACATAAATCAACTCATGTAATATATTTTGTTGCCATGGTTACAACATTAACTTCGTGTGCTGGTGATTAGATGCCTCACTCTGAAAGTGTGGGTTCAAATTCTGGATGGGACTCAACCCCAAAATGTACAAGAATCCATATTTTACTGAGAAAGTGTTAAGCCCAGCTATAACTTATGTTAGATTTGGCAGGGGTGGAAATAACTTTAAAGCTGCTAGTGTACTCCGGTACAGTGGCACATGTAAAATCACTTGCCCTGATAATTTGTCCACTATACCGGCCGTTTTCTTGTTGATTTAAAAAACACCAACATAATTAATATTGCAAAGTCAACTGGACACCAGTTCAGTTTGATATACAAATTTGCTTGCCCGACAGAAAAAAACACTGGACTCGGGTGTCGGGCAATGGGTTATTTCCACCCGTTTGGCCAATTTCTCTAATGTACATGTATTATGTATTCATATATTTTGGTACTGCTGTATTTTTTTATTTTTGTTGACCATGTTTATATTTGCTGTGGTTCTGCCTTTACACTCTACTACAGGGATGGCAACAGGAAAATCTATTTTCAGCTGAAAACGTAATATTGTGTCATCGAGTTGAGGGTTTCTCAATGGATTTAGACGATTCACAATTGAACAATTTGAAAAAAAAATCAGCGGAAAATTGCCATCCCTGATACTAGTATGACACCAGTGATGAAACAGTAACATATGCCCTGTGTATGTTGTTCAGTGTAAGAAGAAACACACACCAACAGCCCTCGACATTTTACATGCACTTCAATCATTTACTGACCCTGTTGATGACAGTGAGTGATACAAAACAAATCTTATGGATAACAACTTCTGGATTTATTTATCACATTGACAGTGAGTGGAATTTATTTGTGTCTTTATATACAAACATGAGTAGGCACAAATTCTTAGTGATTGAATTTGTAAATCTTCATTTTATTAACAATGATCATGATGATAAAGAAGTAAAATATAGGATAATCAGGTTCCAATTCTCTTTCTTTCCGACCAAGTGCGTCTTGTCATCATAGACTTTATCACTTACCATTGAAGTAAAATCCATGAATAGTTTTCGGTGCTTCATCCAAACCATACACATTCAGCTTGTTCTCTGACAATCTTTGCCAAAACCCGGCATCAAGGGAGCTGCTGAAAGGGGCGAACTGAAGCGAACCTCCACCTGACATTGCCGTATCCTAATTCACGTACTGTTTAAAACTGTTTAGTACGTTCGTAATTGCCAACGTAGAGAGAGGGGTGTCATCGATAATTCTCACTGTCACATGCAAACATAAACTTCCGCATTGCGGCACATATTGTTTGCTGAAATGTGATTGGACAATAATACATGTCGTACTTTTAAAATTACCGCAGAAACGATATAACTTTAATATGATTGGTAGTTAGTACTTGTCTTCAGTCGTAAGCGGTCTTTCCAAAACAAGTGGGAGAGAGTGTGACAGAGAAACAAAACAGAGATCATCCACGTATCGGCAGGTGGCCTCTGAGCAAAAGAAAGCACGGAATAACAATGAGCACTCAGTTGGGCTCATAGTGATTGTGCCCATAAAACTGAACTGCTTACTGGTACTTCGTCGACATTAGTCAGAATTCTTACAGAAACTGGGGTATGCACTCGTCTGTCTCAAGTAATATGGACTTGGCCTGGATGATCTTTTTTTAAATATGTATTTTCATGACTGAGTGAGCCAAATTTTGACACTTGACTGATTTCTAGCAGAAGCAATCCTTAGGGTACTGGAGAGTTATTCATGTGTTTGCCCAAAATGAACACAATGCTTTATCCGTCTTGTAAGATTTAGATGCAATAAAAAATATCCTTGTCTATTATTAGCTGTTATGCAATTTCAGGAGGCCTCTTAATTTGTGATTAAAGCATATGAAATGACATATCAGTCTAAATCTTTTCCATAAGTTCTTCATTAAATGTGAACAGTTTTAAGTTGTTCATGTGATTAAAAAGAAAACAATGAATGTTTCTAAGTGGCTGAAAATCCATACACATTCAAGTAAGTTGGCCTATATCATCATTGATATGGACACCTATGTAATTTTGTAAAACATGAGACGGTAAGAGTTCCTCCCGTTCCCCCATCCCAAATACTATTTATAAATTAACATATACTAAAATTATTGACAAACCTAACACAACCACTACTAGAGAACTCACTAAAATAACTAAAAGCCCAAATTATTATTAATTACAATATATAAGGTCGAACCATGTTGTGTTACCTCTGTTAATCTGCGGAAGAAAGAAGTGGGGGAACGGAAGGAACTCTTTCCGTGACTTATTGATAATCTTCACCAGATCTTGTATCGAGTCCATTTTTACTACATGGACGCCAGACGTCCCACCCTACCCCCACCATAACCTGAGGTTTCAAGAGTTACATGTAAAATGTCAGATGGGGAATTGTTTTATTAAAACCCATGCAAAAACTAATTAGAAACTATCTGATCATGCATACACTGAAGCTGGCTTAAACATAATCTTTACTCAAACATATCAGAGTTGGAAAGAATGCTTGCATAGTCAGAAAGAAATAAAACCTGGAGTTTTGTTGTTATTGACCTTCAACAACATATTTGGTGGTCGACCTGTGGATACACAAGTCATACTTAAAATGCTTGTACCCGAGTTACCCCAGTGTAAGTTAGATATTTGTGACAATATAGGTTTTGTAAAGGTTAGCAATCTACTGTTAAATGGACCCAGAGGTCATTCAAGAAATGACACACAGTTTGAAAAAAGGCAGCTTTCTATCAAGTATAATATTTGTATTCACAAGTGACATTTTATCCATAAGGCTGTGTATTCATATACTGAAAATATCAACAGACCACAAATATTTGGTGTGCTTTGGATAAAATCAAAATATCTTTCTTACACATTTTTCAGAGAATAGTTAACTATGTTACTTTAAAGAATAAATCTTATTAAAAGTCTTTCATTTCTTATGTCTATGGTAACATTAAGTATTCGTTAGTATGTTTCAGCAACAATAAGCACTGGGGCCAAATAGGTGTGCAATAATTCATTAAACATTCAGTACACCACAATATTCTGTGCAACAATACAAGTAATTCTTGCAAATATCAAACCACTATTACATCCGAGCACAAATCCTGTACTTTGAGTGTCATCTCACCATAAACATTTTTTAGATTTTTAAAAGAATTTGTCTTCACTGTCACCTATACATAACCAGTTGAGATATTAATAGTATCTCCCTTCTAGAACAAATAGATTGGTTGCACTAAAAGCATGGAGCATTGTGATTCTCCATGTCGCGATTGTGAGGTCATATATCAATACATGTGGTACAAATATACAAAAGTGAGTGAGTGAGTTTAGTATTACGCCGCACTCAGCAATATTCCTGCTATGTGGTGGCGGTCTGTAAATAGTCAAGTCTTAACCAGACAATCCAGTGATCAACAGCATGAGCATCAATCTGCGCAATTGGGAAATAATTAACATGTGTCAACCAAGTCGGCAAGCCTGACCACCTGATCCCGTTACAAATATACAAAAGAGTGAAGGGTAAAAAAACCTAATTTTGGCCGGAATGTTGAATAGGTTCTGGTTAGTGTTGGGAATTGGTTAAAATCTCATAATTGATGACTGGTTCATTACAACCGATAAATCATCAACAATAATTGGTCAGCGTCATTTATCAAATTATCCTGGTTATGTTTCTTAACATACCAAAAATAAAGACAAAAGATGCAGTTCTTTTGAGTGTTTTGCAAATTTTACATCTTTAAGGGATGACTAGCATGTTAGGAACATAAATGTCCTGGAGTCTTTAGGATAAATTCAACCATGACTTAGAACTAGCTTGCAGTGCTTATGAAATGTAACAGATAAAACCAACCTTGTGAAAAATATTGTTAAAGCTAGCAAGTGTTCCAAAATTGTTTGTGTTTGATCATGAGAAAACATGATCGATTGCTTGGTCGTTTAGTCATTGCGACCAATCTTCGATTATTTCAATTAATCGGACCACCACTAGTTCTGGTGCACTTTGTCGTTGCTCAATTTGTGATGTAATTTTGTTGGCATAATAATGTTGTCCTCATATGGCTTCAACTGACCGGGGCAGTGGGGTAGCCTAGTGGTTAAAGCGTTGGCTGGTCACGCCGAAGACCTGGGTTCGAATCCCCACATGGGCACAATGCGTGAAGCCCATTTCAGGTGTCCCCCGCCGTGATGTTGCTGGAATATTGCTAAAAGCGGCGTAAAATCAAACTCAGTCAGTCAGTCAACTGACCAGTCAGGATTGCTATTTCCTAAAATGCACACACACAAATCTCAGAACATTATGACACAAAATCATTCTACTCTTCCATGAGATATTTATGTCCTATTGTTATGTAATATATTTTGGATTCTGTTTACCTTCTTTTCTTTTTCATCATCAGATTGACAGAAACACATTCCCATGAAGTGAATTCCAAGACAGGAAGATGGATACAACTGTTTTGTTTACGTGTTTGTTTCTTGTCTTGATAGACTATGGCTTGACCAGCAGTCAGTTTCATGTAGACAAATCAAGGTATGACGAAGGTCGCAAAGAATATGAACTCATGGTCCACAGGTCCGAAATGCCAAGATATGGCACTTGCTGGAAAGATGCCATGGTAACGATGCAAAATGGCTGCAAGCATCTCACGGACGAAGTCCAGGGTCGGCTGTCCTTGGCCTACCTCAACTGTTTCCTGGAATTTCAAGGTCGAGACGTGTACGAGTGTGACGTTGATCAACCGTTTCATGAATGTGCAAAAAATATGCTGGATGTGGACAGAGGCTCATTTACAACCTTTTTCACACACACTCAAAATATGTGCTACTTTCTTCAGGCGCAAATATGGCATGAGGAAACTGAGAACACAATTGGTCGACTTTCTGACAGTTCATCTCAGGTAGCCTCAAAACTAGAAGATTCCTACAAGCTACAGAATGAAGTACTAAAACAACAGGAAGAAAGCATAAAAAATCAAGAAACGATCATGAACAAGGCTTCAAATTTGAGTAACATCATTACGCATCGTCTGATGACATTCACGAGATGTTCAAAGACTTCAAAGAGACAACACAGGAACAAGCGTGTACTCATCACTGGCGTTTTGATCGTGTTGCTAAGCTACAGCACATGGTTCTTGGAGAATTTTCAGGCTTTTATTCAATTGTGTTCTATACCCTGTCGATTCTTGTGTCGTATCTGTTGGCGTCAACGGCCAGGGCGAAAGCAGTGCGAGGTTCTGGTTGTTTGGGCTGATGGCCGGGAATATGGTTGTGGAACAGATGATTGTGTCCGTGAGGCCTGGCATTTTTAGATATGTACCGTTTCAAGACTTTGAGAATGAGGAGGTATGTGCTAACATGTTCCTGAAGCAGGGAGTTAACTTTTATAGTTGAGTTTCCACCCTTGTAAACAGTTTGTAAATCTGATTAAGCACAATTTTGATCCCTGACATGTGACATGTTTGTTTAGAATAGAGCTCATATTAAGTCCAGCATGTCAAGTATTGTTTCATTATTCTGTTACATTAAATGGAATATTTTACAGGGTTGAAAGCTTGCTGAGTTCAGCAGAACTCCTGTTTCAATAGCATCTCCATTCCTTTTCATTGAAGAGTGGATGGTGGGCAGTGTGATTGTGTAGGGCTGTAACGATTCATCCGACTATTGATGGATTGCAATTGTTGAGTCTCCGAAAGCAATTAATCGGTGGTAGAAATGAAAAACTATCAATGCATGGATAGTATGTGTGGCTATCGATAGTTTAGTAGTTGACTTCCTTTTATACATGCGCAGCGCAAAATGCAGAAAGTACCAGATTTATTCACTTTGATATATTAGAGTTATCTGCCCCTGTTACCTCTTAATCTTAAACAAACTTGATCTGGGTTTGAATTTTCTTATCAGTTATTAGAAGAGCCTGAAACTACTTCAGCTAGTTTTTTATCCCCCACAACGCGTTTTGCGGGGGGTATTAAAATGGACTCCGTCCGTGCGTCCGTCCGACCGTCCGTCAGTCCGTCCGTCCGTGCATATTTGTCTTTTCCGGAGCAGAACTCTAAAACCGTTCAATATTTCTTCACCAAACTTTGCACATACATGGATCTGGTGGTGTACTGGTGCCTTTTGGTAGTTTTGGAATTCTGAATAAAATATTTTTGGCGTTTCCGTGGCAACAAGTTCGACTTAGACTGAAATTGGTGGTAGTGCTCTTTTCCGGAGCAGAACTCTAAAACCGTTCAATATTTCTTCACCAAACTTGGCACATAGATAGATCTGGTGGTGTACTGGTGCCTTTTGGTAGTTTTGGAATTCTGAATAAAATATTTTTGGCGTTTCCGTGGCAACAAGTTCGACTTAGACTGAAATTGGTGGTAGTGCTCTTTTCCGGAGCAGAACTCTAAAACCGTTCAATATTTCTTCACCAAACTTGGCACATAGATAGATCTGGTGGTGTACTGGTGCCTTTTGGTAGTTTTGGAATTCTGAATAAAATATTTTTGGCATTTCCATGGCAACAAGTTTGACTGAAATTGGTGATAGTGCTGCTCTCTGGAGCAGAACTTTAAAATCCTTTCAATACTCTCCTTCCACTTTTCTATATACACACCTAAATATTTCTATATACACACCTAAATATTTGACATAATCATAACTCGTAGACATAATCATGAAGAGTATTTTGCCATTGCGGGGGATATTGATGACTTTGTCTTCTTGTTTTTTCTATAAACTATCTATTCATTTGGGAAATGACTTCAAATGAGACAATGCAAGGTGAAAAAAAATAGTGCAATAGTATTGCAATAGTTAGTTGCAACAGACTATCGCTATTGCAATACAGTGGAAGCTGTCAAAACCGGCAGCTGTCCATTCCGGCAAGTTATCAACACCGGCATGAAATCTCTGTCCTGTCTCAGGCTAGTACAGTTATCATCATTTAAAAGCCCTGCAATCCGGCAGCTGTCAATTCTGGATGTTGGCATGAAATGCGACACCCAAATATGTGTTTATACAGTAATCAGTGCTGTCTAATCCGGGACGTGGCGAGGAGTTGGCCGGATGTGTATTGTCACCAATTAATCTTGCGTTGAAACTACATGGTTGCCGACAAAGATAATTAATCTTAATTCAGTATGGGTATACTTGTACATTAACTAGTGGGTTGAATCAATGTGTGCAGTAACTGCGAGAACCACGTGATACAGCAATGGATATGAGAGTGACAAAACTAGTTCAGTTCTAGTTGCAGGTAACCGTGTCAGCTCTACAATCCAGCACACTGTCTAAATCAGATTATTTCTTCAGTCCCGACGAGTGCCGGTTTAGACAGCTTCCAGGGGCGGTGGGGTAGCCTAGTGGGTAAAGCGTTCGCTCGTCTCTCTGAAGGCCCGGGTTCGATTCCCCACATAGGTAAAATGTGTGAAGCCCATTTCTGGTGTCCCCCGGCGTGATATGGCTGGAATATTGCTAAAAGCGGTGTAAAATCAAACACACTCACTCACTCATTAGACAGCTTCCACTGTAGTTGTTTCCCCCTCAATGGTTACCCTTAGTGATTTGGGATAGAATCTGATATGCTAGTAAGCTGCACATAGTGTTTCCTGTTCCAGGAGATGATCTATGGTAGCCAGCGTCTAGTTCGGCGGTTGTCAGGCCTTATTGGGTTCATCATACTCTGTTTCTCCGTCTACAACTTCAAGGACCTGAACACCATCAACAACCAGCTTCTGATAGAGATCCGAAGACAGAACTCTGAACTCCGACACTCTCTCATGGGAACAATATCAGGTAAACCGTTACTGCTTGAAATAATAGGAAAATAATTTAACAGTAAGATTATGGTCTTATACCAGTGTATGAAACAAGGCCTGTCCGACCGCCCGAGATGGTTTGGATTTCAGATGGACGGTCCACATTTAGAGCTAGCCAGCCCGATGGTCTGGTAAAAATTTAGATGTTTTATACATCTGAGTCATATCTTGGTTTCTGGTCTGGTTAAATCCATTTTGGACTGGTAACATTTTGAAGTTACCAGCCCTGATGTCTGGCTGGGGTTTTGGCTTATTTCATACACTGCTTATACATCGTTGTACAGATAAAGGGCTCTAGTCGAAAGTGTTGTAAGTTGCTGTTTAGAGTTGTGTCCCTTAGCTGTGGTAGGATACACCCCCACACCCACCCCTGAATTCTTTTTACTTGAGGAGCATTTCCACTTAACCTTTGGACTTCATGATTTATATGCGCCCCCATTCTCCAAAAATCTTGGATCCGCCCCTGTAATGCTGTTGGTTTTAAATGGAATTTGCAGGTATCAAATACCCAATAGAATCCCCAAATCCTGAACCACGTATGTTTCTCTCCTAAATGGTTGTTTTGATTGCCAGGATCAAGCAGCAACACTAAACTTATGGTAACCCAGGGTAAAGAGGGAGTCGAAGCTGACTGTGAGTAGCTGTTACTTCTTTGTCAGGAGATTACCATAGTTACAGCTAGTGCTGGAGCGATTGATCGAAATAATCAGTCAATCGATTGATCAAGTGGAACACTTTTTATGGATAGACAACTTCTTTGTTGCAGTAGCTGCGACGTTTCGGTGAAGATTCTAACACCATTATCAAGCAAATGATCTACACCGAAACGTTGCAACTACTGCAACAAAGAAGTTGTCTATCTATAAAAAGTGTTCCACTTGATCATACCAGCTTCTAAGTGCCACTTAAGGAAGTTAAATCGATTGATCATTGCATCAGCGATACTGATGGACTCGAGAGACTAATTGATATTCATGAAAAATTAAACATGAAATTGAATTTAAATGTGAATATAAAACAAGGTTAACATGTCATTTTGTTCAGTACATGACTCATATACTAACATTTTTTGTGTGGGGACAAAGTGGATGTCAGCTTCCCTTAAGTGCCCGCCTTTGTTATCTTATCACTTTTGTTGTTACCTCATATATGTACCGGTAATGCCCATAAACGATGTAAGTACTTGGGATTATTTTTACCAAAGCACCGCAGTCATTTACATGCCTTCTGATTGGTTAGTCGTATTTTCGCACATAACAAGCATCGATAGGGGGACGAATCTTCTTGGAGGTTACGGAGAGAGGCGAGTGGTGACGAATGTAACAGAATCGGGTGGTCAGGCTCACCGACTTGGTTGACTACATGTGCTTGCATCCCAATTGCGCAGATCAATGCTCATGCTGTTGATCACTGGATTGTTTGGTCCAGCCTCGATTATTTACAGGGCGCCGCCATATAGCTGGAATATTGCTGAGTGCAGTGTAAAACTAAACTCACTCACTCAGCTGACAGGCTCGCTAACTTGGTTGACACATGTCATCGTATCCCTATTGCATAGATCGGTGCTCATGATGTTGATCACTGGATTGTTTAGTCCAAACTTCATCATTTACAAACCGCTGCCATATAGCTGGATTCTTTTTCAGAAGAAGTCCTCCTTGGGGTACATATAAGCATTAAAATGTCCATTTTAAAAGCCTACGACAGTTGTAACAATATTTCAATAAAATATTTTACCAAACAAAAAACTCGTTATGTGTGGTGAGACCACCCCTACAGGGCCCCGTAGAGGGCCCCCTACAGCCAAGAGCAGGTAACTCTGGCTGTGTACCTCGTACCTCACTTTTCATGCTGTCGTCGGCCGTGTAGGTCGATTGCATGGTCCAAGAAGCTACGAATAAGAGAGCGATGAGTGAGATAGAGTCAAATCCTGTATGTATGGTTCCTTTTTTAAGCTCGGGCTAGCTGGAATCTTTGTATGACTTTTTCATTCATGATTTGTTGTAACTTTACCGCGTGTATTCGCTGTCTCCAGCCACGCGGCAGGCAAGATGGCGGACCGCTGGGTCCCGTTTGCTTTCCTTCTCCTGGCTTTAGAAAAAGCCTTGTAGTCGGGTCGTAAAGGGGCTGATATTTCATTTTGTAGATTATACTTGCCTAAATTCCTCTTTTTTCCAGGCTTTAGGTAAGTTTTGCTTGAGTGTTTTCGTGACGCGTTTACGTGTCGCTCACACATGTTGCTCTTTGTCACCTATGTGCGCAATTACGCTTCGCTATTATGGCTTTGCGCTAGTATTTAATAGCTTTGCTGTAACAGTTAAAATATCGCCCGGGCGTTGTATTTTGTTCTGTTTTGTTGTGTGCATATTATATTATGTATATCGTACAGTCCTTGCTATTGTCATAGCGTGGTTCTGTTTTTGCAGCCCAAGGGTGTGTCACCTGTAGCGGCAGTTTGTCGCCTCAGGATCGCCACCTGGTTTGCTTCGTTGTTTAGCGGAGGAAGCCCACCATGAATAACAAGGTTGTTCTATGTGTCAGGCTTTCTCCCCGCTTCATCAAGTCCAGACGCAGCTGATTACATGTTCTACACGTCCCTACTTCAGGCGGGACATTTGGGGTCAGGAGTCAGCCAAAGACAAAGATAAAAAGCAAAGAAAAGAAGGCTTCGCTTCCTCTCTTTGGGGATGCTCCTAAACGGCGAGAAGGGTCGCGGGGCCTCGGCTCTTTCACCTGCTATCCCTCAACATCACAGGCACCTTCCTCCTCCTGTCCCTGTTTCTAACCAGCTAACAATTGATTTACTTTCTGATATATTGCAGAAGCAGATGGATTCGGTCCACACTCTGCGTGGCTGACGCGATGGCTGGCCTCCGTCAGGAGATTGGCGTCGGCCAGGAACGGGTGTGTGTGCCGGGTCTATGGCGGGCAGTGCTCCCAACCTCAGCTTAGGCTCTGGTGTGGGGTTTCTGTCGGGGTGCGTCGGCTCCGAAGTTTAAGTCTCGGTTGCTGGCCACCCTCCGCTAGTAGTAACTACTACCGTTCCGAGCCTTGGCTCGGGTCTGGTCCAGTAGTTAGTAGTTTGGCAGGCTCAGTCCCTGTAGTTGCCGCTTACTTCAAGAGTTGGTCCCACACGGCTTACCGCTTGGCCGGGCCATTCGGTGTCTGGATCATTTTGTCTACCATTGAGGAATCCCAGCACGGGCTCTTCCTCGTCCGCGGCACCGCTGACTCAGTATCGAAGTCTTGGGTCAGGTGTGCCGGGCAACCCGCTCTGCTCGAGCCTTTGTCCCTCTCTGTAGACCCTCGATGATCCCTCAGAGCTCTCTCTGAAAATACAGAGACCTCACTCATTGAGGATCGATTCGAGGAGGCTATGGAGGAGGATGAGGGTCGGGAGGAGTTGGGACGCGCCTTTGGTTTCGCTCGCGCGCGTCCCTGAGGCAGGTATCGGAGCTGTATTGCTTCTGTCCTGCCCCAGGTAGTGGTCAGTACTGGCGCACCCGACCCTCAGGAGTTTCGCCTCCCAGGGGAGGCTTTTGCTCCCACCAAGGTGGGGGACACAAGGCTGCGTATATTACCCTCAGTCTTGTCTGAGGTAATCAACCCCCTCCTCTGTGGTACCAGGTCCAGGTTCGATTTGCCAGAACTTGACCGTCGGTACCTCATGGGGGAGGCTTGCCTTTACAATCCCCCAGTGGTTGACGATTGTGTTTACGCACCCTCTTCCTGTCGGAATGGGAAAAAGTCACGTCCAATCCCTGGGTCCTGTCCACACTCAGGGAAGGCCACATGCCACACTGGAAGCGAGACCCACCCCCCTTCTCCGGGATCCGTTGCACTCCAGTGCCGGCTGCCCTGGAGAAGGCGGAAGTGCACCGTGCCGAGGTCCAGTCGTTGCTGGACAAGGCAGCCATAGAGGTGGTTCCTGTGGGACAAGAAATGTTGGGTTTTTACTCAACTTATTTCCTTGTCACCAAAAAGGACGGAGGGTTCAGACCTATTCTAAACCTCAAAGGTCTGAACGACATGTTAGAGGTACCGTCCCTTCAAGATGGAAACACTGGTTAGGTGATTTCGTCTGTGGAGAAGGGAGATTGGCTCACGCCAATCGACCTCAAAAACACGCGATACTTCCATGTCCCTATGCACCCGAGTTCGGAAATACCTTTTCCTTTCCTTGGAGGTGCTATCAGTTTCGGGTACTCCCCTTCGGCATTTCCACAGCGCCAAGGGTGTTCACCAAACTCATGCTAATTCCAGCTCAGGTAGCCAGGTCACAGGGCAGGTGCTGTCACCCGTACCTAGACGATTGGCTCCTTCGTGCGCTTGCCACTCACTTGAGTCGAAGGCGACACTTGCTGTGATGAGTATTCTCACCAAGTTGGGCTGGATTATCAACCTCAAGAAATCAGAACTGGTTCCCACCCAGGATCTGGTGTTCTTGGGAGCGAGATTCGAGACAGCGCGAGGGATAGTCTCCCTGTCTCCGGACCGCGTCACCAAAGTCCAGAGAGTTGTGTTACAATTTCTCGAGTTCCCCAGGGCCTCAGCTCGGACTTGGCTCCAGTTGCTAGGCAACATGGCGGCAACGGTGGACATCTTTTGGCGAGCGCGGTTGAGGATGCGGCCCATTCAGCAGGCTCTAGCTCGAATGTGGGTCCACACCCAGGGTTACGAGTTGATTCTCCACACTCCAGGGTGGCTAATTCCTCATTGGTGGACACTGGCAGGGAATTTATCCAAGGGGCTCCCTTTGGACATCCCATCGCCAGATCTCTCAATTCAGACGGACGCTTCCCTCACAAGGTGGGGGGGCGTGCTGGGCGCCCTGTCGGTCTCAGGCCTGTGGTCACAGAGCGAGGCGCAACTGCACATCAATGTGCTAGAATTGAGAGCTGTCAGGATGGTGTTTAAACGACTTCGGGAGCAGGTTCAAGGCCGTGTGGTCCGTCTCGAGATGGACAACCAGACGGCAATGACCTACATCCTGAAGCAGGGCGGTACGGTTTCCCCGTCTCTTCTGCAGGAGGCATGGCAGTTTCTGCTCTGGTGCCAACCAGTTCGACATACGGGTAATGCCTGTTTATCTCCCTCATGGACAACGCTCGAGCAGATGCACTCTCTCGTCGTATCCTGGCCCCACACGAAAGTGGATGCTCCATCGGGGATATTCGGGGCTATCTCCCAGTTGTTCGGTCGCTCCAGGTGGATCTGTTTGCATCTGGGGGACGAACCAGATTCGGTGTTTTGCTCTTGGATACCGGATCCGAGAGCCATCGCCCAAGACGCTTTCCAGCTCGATTGGACGGACAGGGTTCTGTGAGGCGTTCCCGCCACTACCCTGATTCCCAAAGTCCTCTTGCAGCTTGCCACCCAACCAGCTCGACTTCTTGTGCTCCTTGCACCCCTTTTGGTCGGGCTCAAAGCTGGTTTCCGGTACTACTCAGGTTTCTGGCTCAGCCTCCTGTACTATTACCCTTTCGACCGGACTTACTATCCCAGAACGGGCGCCGCACCGAATCCCAGGATTCAGTGGGTGGCCTGGCCTCTGTCCGAATCGCCTCTACGCTGAAGAATTCCTGCACCAGTTGCAGACACAATTCTGGCTTCGGAGGGATTCGACAAAACGCTCAGTATGAGGATAGATGGGCCTGTTATCTTGCCGCTGGTGTGTCGGCAGAGGGATTCTTGATCCCTTTTCTTCAACTGTAATTGAAGTACTGGAGTTCTTGCAGTCTCGGGTTAGAAGCCGGTTTAGCCGCCATCTACTATCCGGGGCTACTCCACGGCAATCTCTGCCTTCCATATCCCTGCCGACGGTGCTCTCTTTGGGGCAGCACCCTCTCGTACAGCTTTTTAGCAGGCGTGGACAGAATCCGTCCGACTGTCCGGGCGGATTAGTCCCCGATGGGACTTGTCAATCGTTCTTGATTGGATGTCGGTCCTCTCTTTCACGATCTGTCGCCTCTTCCACTCCAGCTGTTAAGTTGGAAGGCTGCCTTTCTTGTGGCGATAACGCCTGGCAGGCGGTAGGTGATATCCATGCGATGTCAGCGGATCCTGCTCTGACTGTCTTTCACAAAGACAGAGTCAGTATTCGGTTGCCAGACTCCTACCGTCCCTAAGGTCGCAGGCGCTTTCATATAACGGCGCCTATCGAACTGCCAGCTTTCACTCAGCCTCCATCGTCCGTACCTCTCTTCGTGCGTGCTCACGTCTTAGATGTCCGTAAGACTCTCAAGGCTTATATCAAACGAATGGCTGCTCTCAGGAAAGATAAGCAGCTGTTCTGTTGTTATGGCGGTGGCAAGGCTGGTCTTCCGCCGAACAAGCAGACCATATCTAGGTGGCTTTGTCTCTGCCATTTGTTCGAGTTACTCTTACAAAGGATTAACCATCCCTCAGGGTTTAAAGGCTCATTCGATTAGGGCAGTGGCGACATCAAAAGCATACATGGCACACTGCCCATTGAGGAGATCTGCTCAGCAGCTATCTGGAGCCGAATCGGAATGCGTTCATCCGCCACTATCAGCTGGACAAACACTCACGGAGCATGCTTCGGTTTGGCCAGACAGTTCTCACCAGTGGGCAGTGTCGTGATTCTCTAGCCCGAATGAGCCTTAGAAATCACGTTTGCTTTCTCTCATGGTGTAGGTGTTAATAAATTCCTCAATTTTTATCGGTGGTGGTATCACATTGGTGGTGGTTTTACCGCATGTAGCGATTATCACCGCTACAGTCACTGTGTTCATCCCTGCACCACGCCGCTGGTTTGGGTTGCTGAGGGATATATATTGGACTCGCCCCATTCTTTCCTCCCATTTTGATGGTCTGGGGTGGGACTTTGCGTCCGCCTTTATAAATTCCACCAATAGCCTATCGGCTAGGCTCCTTTTCCCCGCCTTGTTACGCGCCTGATTGACATCAGCGGTCAGGTGACTAGGTGAGTGTACTTTCTCTCTCTGTCGCTGCTTCTGCTGTGCCTTCGACTGAACTAGAGGGGTATGTTAGGCAGACAGAATACCGCTCCCCGACTCAACATCGTTGGGAGTCTGTCTTATGCTTATATGTACTGGCAGGAGGACTTCTTCTGAAAAAGAATTTTACAAACCTGGAGAGGTTATGAATTCTTTGAAGAAAAGTCCTCCTTGGGTACTGGTCACCACCTCCCCTCATTCTGTCTGACACGCTCAGCATGAAAAGTGAGGTACGAGGTACACAGCCAGAGTTACCTGCTCTTGGCTGTAGGGGGCCCTCTACGGGGCCCTGTAGGGGTGGTCTCACCACACATAACGAGTTTTTTGTTTGGTAAAATATTTTATTGAAATATTGTTACAACTGTCGTAGGCTTTTAAAATGGACATTTTAATGCTTATATGTACCCCAAGGAGGACTTTTCTTCAAAGAATTCATAACCTCTCCAGGTTTGTAAAAATATTGCTGAGTGCAGCAACAACAAAATAATTTACCTGATGGAGTAAACATATTCTTAAGCATTGTGACCCTCATATCACAGAAGCTGACATCCGTAAATTTCCCCCCTTAATGTATATCAGATCTAAATGCTATTCAAAGATTATATTGTTTGGTTATGTTCATCCAGCCACGACGTTGGACTCCTCCGACTCTGCAGTGTCCAGCGGGTCAACCGGCAGCGAGGGGGAAGATTCCGACCACACCTTCATCCTGCAGTCCAGCAGCCACTCCGAGTCGTCACACAGCTATTTCTCCGTGATGACCGACAGTCTGGCCAACACCCAGATGTCCACTCTGGACAGTGAGCTGCGAGATCTCCGCCAGTCCACCCCTATCAAACAACTGCCGGACCGAGTGGCCACCTGGGTCAAAACAGGATTCTATCCAGGTAACCATGGTAACAGTGTTTATAAGTCTTGGCGTATAAATTGATGTGTTATTTTTGGCATTTACCAAATTTTGGAAGCACTTGTTTAATTGGAATTCTTGATAAAATTTGATCACCAGTTATGATGGAATAGTGTATCATAACAAGTTCTTGCTGTTAGTAAAGATTTCTTGTATCAAGTGTCCGGGTTAGAATAGATCTTCAGCAACCCATGCTAGTCGTAAGAGGTGACTAATGGGATCCGGTGGTCAGGCTCGCTGACTTCGTTGACACACGTCATCGAATCCCAATTGCATAGTTCTATTCTAATCTGTTTAAGATGCTTGGTCCCTTCTCATTAGACTTGTGAAGATCTGGGTTAGAATTTGTCTCCAGCAACCCATGCTTCTTGTAAGAGGTCACTAACGGGATTGCGTGGTCAGCCTTGCTGACTATTTGACACGTCATTGTATCCGAATTGCGAAGAACGATGCTTATGCTGTTGATCACTGGGTTGTCACTAACAACTAACAGGGTGGGTGATCAGGCACGTGGACTTGGTTGACACATGTTATCGTATCCCACTTGCGTAGTTCGATGCTCATGCTGTTGATCACTGGATTGCCTGGTCCAGATTTAATTATTTACAGACCGCCACCATATACAGTCAAATCCCGATGAGTCGAATGCCGGTGTCTCGAATATTATGCATAACTCGAAGTACCTGTCGGTCCCGACCATTCCCTGTTATAGTTGTCATCATTTGAATACCGGTTACATGAATTCGTCTCATAAATACACACGATGACTCGAGAAGGAAATTTGGTCCCATGAGATTCAAACAACAGCAATCTTGTATATATAAGCCGAAGTCAGTCAATGAAAAGTTGATTGGTGTAGCAAACTGATCAAATTAACAAACCCGCGCAGCTCACACCTTTCCGCCATTGACGGGTGAGTTCAAAAGGCAGATTAGTAATTTTACGGAAATCACTGTCTGTGCTAATCAAACTGGAACTCATAAGGTGCCCCTATTAGTGATAGGGAAATCATTAGATAAACAAATGCTTAGGTGGAGGAATTAGGACTGGATCATCTTTTTTCTACCCTCATAGACATACCTGTGTCTCGAATACATCGATAAGTCGAATTTATTACTTGGTCCCCAGCGATTCGACTCATCGGGATTTGACTGTAGCTGGAATATTGCTGAGTGCAGCATTAAACAACAAACCAAACCAACTGGCATACCGAAGGATGTTAAAGGTTAATTTCCCTGTCCGGCATTGGGGAATAAAAAAATTGGTCTTCTTGCAGTCAATAGTGTGTCTGAGTGTATGTTCATGTGAAACTGCAGCTGATGTTCAGTGAACTAAACATATAAAACTGACTTAATCCAAGAGGACACACAGAGACATATATGCACATCGCTTTGCAAGTACTGTAATCATTAACTTGATGTCAAACCCCATTACACCTCAAGTGGAAACGTCCAGCCAACTCACTCTGATGAAAGAGCATCACGTTTCTATGGTTACCATTATAAACTTTTAATATGTTATTTAATTCTTTTTTTCCTAGTTTCACCAGCAAAGGCATGCCCGTCGTCCAACCCCAGCAAAGGTAATGATCAGATCATACACACTGGGCATGTATAGACAGAGGGTGTTATCGTGCGGTCACAACATTTTGTTAGGCATGGTGTGTATGAGGTCTTTGGGTAGCATAATATTACAGAGCCAGCTCGTCACACGATGGCTCTGGTTCGATTCTCACATGGGTACAATAATGGAAGCCCATTTCTGTCTCCCGCCGTGATATTGCTGGAATATTGCTAAAAGTGGCATAAAACCTTACTTTCGACTCAACTGTATGGGGTAGGGGGTCTTTGAAGGTTGTTTTCATGACTTCACAGACTGTCTCGTTTTGTTACTGAATGTATATATGCCCTGGAGGATTCTGGGATTTTTAGCAATATTCCAGCAATATCACGGTGGGGGACACTAGAAATGGGAGTCACACATTGTACCCATGTGGGGAATCGAACCAGGGCCATCGGTGTGACAGGCAAACACTTAAACCACAAGGCTACCCCACTGCCCCTATTTTCTGTAAGAACCTTGAAGTGTATTACTTGTATTTGTACTTAAAAGTCCAGACAAAACAATGGTTGTTAGGCTCACTGACTTGGTTGATGGATGTAAATGTATCCCAGATGCAGATCAATGATCATGATGCCAATTGTTTCTTCCAGAATCATTAATATATAGGTTTAGCTGGAATATTTCCAAGTGCTTCATTAAAGACACAGCAGAACTTTAAAAATATTGATATCTAATTTCAGTGATCCATTTTTGTCTTTGTCAGTTCATAATTGCATTGTTCCTGTGCCATTTGTTTTCCAAGGAATCTAGTTTTGAAGCTCCAAGATACTATCTTCGGGCTCGGAAACCTGTCCCCGCCAGTCCTAACCCAGCGCTTAGTGTGGAATCTCCGAACAGCTTCTCCAAGACAGTCCGCCATCTTGAACAAATCACAAAGAAAAATAGTCTCTTTGCTAGAGCTGTTTTACGCAAAAAGAATCGAATAGCAAATGTTTCTGATGAAGATTAATACAAGCTTAGTTGGTCTTCTGTAACTGTTTGTCTTTCATGAATCATTCAAAGGATCTTATTAATGTTGTGATTTGCATTTTTATATTTTGTCATATTTTATGATGTCAGTTGTTTGTAAAATACTGGAGACTGACTTTGAAATATCTACAATATATTCTGTTATTAGTTTTAGGAAACAGCGAGCTCTTGCAAGGTTTAAAAAAAATGAATAGTTTAAGCAGTAAATGCTTAAAATAGTTATACAGGGAATGATGAATATAATTCTTCGCCCAAACTTTTCATTGGAAGACAATCTTTCAGAACCACCCTCCAGCTTTAAGGCTTTATTTATTCAACGTTGGGAAAAGGTGTACAGAAATATAATAGTTGATGAGTTGTGTTTAAATGTTGTATTTCATGGTCCTGGACACCGATATTGATATTTTGTGCTTTATCTCGGGCTCTAGAATAGACGATGAATCACTGATGCCTAAATGTTTATGAAGGGAATGATGAATGTAAGGATTTTTTGCCAAAAGATTTTATTGGAGGACAATTTATTACAGCCATCCTCCATCTGTAGACTTTATTCATTCAACATTGTGACCAAGTGTACAGACAAATGATTTTGTGTGGTTTCATATACATATCTAATTATTTAGATTTAGTTTTTAAATATTATACATGCAGTGTCCAGAGCCATTCAAGTTTATCTTTGACAGATGTAATGAATATTTGATTGTTTCAGAAGAATACAAGTTTTGCTCCTTTTAAGTAAAACTTGCCTTGAATGTCATTATTCAATTTGATATTCTTCTTTGTCTTTTCTCTTTCTTTTTTTAAAAATGTTTTGTGAAAAGACAAAAATATGCAGAATGTTTTAATTCCGACTATCAAAATCACATCTGGAACCCTTTTCAGATGTCTTTAAGAATAATACAAGTGTGTAAATGAAATCATTTGTAAATTGGAGATTTGAGTCTGTGGTGATTTTTATCATATTTATGTGATGGTGCTATAAAGGTTATTTTTCATGATGTTGGATACTGATGAATTTTGTTTCTGTTTCATTGATTTGTTTTTCTTAAACCAGCGCTACTAACATAAAATCCATGTCTGCATAAAACCGTAAGAGGCGACTAATGGGATTGGGTGGTCAGGCTCGCTGACTTGGTTGACACGTCATCGGTTCCCAATTGCGGAGATCGATGCTCATGCTGTTGATCACTGGATTGTCTGGTCCAGACTCGATTATTTACAGACAGCCCCTGGAATATTGCTGAGTGTGACGTTAAACAAAACTCACTCACTGCATAAAACATAGCAACCAGTCTTTATAATTTGGAAACCTTATGGTTGTGCTTAACTGGTTGTATTTCATGATACAGGAGTCTGGTGGATATAATTTTATCTTTGATACTTTATCTTGGTCTCCAGAATAGACGATGAATCAGTGATGTTGGACATCACCAGCATCTTCATTGCTGTTACATTTCAAGTAGAAACATTTTTTTTTATGATTTTGACATCTCTATTTTCGTAGAATGAAAGGGAAGTGATGTCAGTACAGTTGATGTTCCTCAATGAAATGTTTTCAAATTTGGATGTGGCATTTCTATAATGTGTGCAACTACCATAGTTTGCATGTAACTGAAACTCAGCTCTTTTCTTTTCAAATGTTCAGTGTCATCTTGTATGTTATCACCTGTGTCTTAAATGCAGGGTCATATTTTTACACGAATCAAAATTAGTATCATGTTTGTTTATATACAGTGTAATAGCTGAATCATTTATGGGTTGTAGATTTGTTTTTACAGAAAATGCATTTACCAGTTTTGCCAATATACAAAGCTTGCTAAAAGAATTTTAATAATCTCAAGTTGAATGGAAGTGATTGTGTAAAGATTCCATGTTTAGCTCACATGATAGTTACATCCTATATTGTGTAGAATGATGCTCATGATGTTGATCCCTGGATTGTCTGGTCCAGACTTCGATTATTTATGGGCTGCTGTCATTTAGCTGGACTATTACCAAAGCATAGCTAAAACTAACCAACTATTTTGCATTGTCAGTGCTCAGATGTTATTTGTCTTGTAAATAAAACTTCAAATCAGTGTATGTTAGTAATCTTTCCATGAGATGAACAACCTCCAATCACTGAATGCAGCACTACTTCAACTGACATCAGTTTGGTACCAATCTGACCCAGAGGTTTGAATCCAATTTTCAACATGGCCACAGCTGAATGAAATTTGGTTCCTGTGTTTTTTGTTGATGTTGTTTTCAGAGAAGTAAAGTCAGAGTTGAAAGATGGTCTGCAAGACCCTTAAGCTGACATTTTCCGATCCATGTTGCTTGCATTTTTTCATTTTCAGTGTTCATTCAGAAACTGCTTGTATATGATTAAACATTTATCAAATGTCCTTGGCTCTCCATACAGCTCTGTGGCACAACTCAAAACAAGGAACAGCTCTTTGACAATTTATCACAACAAGTCATCTGATTAAAAGTAGATTTATTTAGGTACACTTAAATGAGATGGGCATCGTATACTTCAAATCTAAAATGTATCAATATAAAACAATAAACATTGCAATAGTTTAACAAATGGTGTTGCATGTCGCATGTTCAAAGTCTAGTATGGTCATGCCACAAAATGGCACATGATGACAAATGTACAAATAATCTTATGATAGCCTCTACGAGAACGGTAGTTTCCTATGTTAACCGTATCCTAATGTTTACTGTTATTCTCTCCATAAGGCAACAAAACAAAGGGTCTCATGTTACTCATTGTTTTAGTTTGAGCAAAATAGGTTCAGTTTTTATCTTTGTAATGCACAGTTAGCATGTTAAAGGAAATATACAGTCATGCAACGGAAATATGTTCAGAGTTACATGCCCTATAATTGTATGAAAAACTGACAAAAAGATGACACGGACTTAACAGGAAATGAAATCATTCTTTTTATGGTCTGATAAAGTTAACACATTTTGAGACCACAAACAGCTTAAGCACCAATAAAACACAACTGTTAAAATATGGCATACTATCTAATGCTTTGCAGGTGCAATTGAAAGTGTGGAAACTTAGCCAGCACATGTAGTGACATATTAGTAACTGAACTGCGTATATGTAAGTAAGTGCTGTACATATTTGATATATACGTTCACCCGAACACAACTTAATGCCTCAGTTCCAGACAATGCGGTACCACTCAACATGAAACTGCCAATGACCTTTTTAGAAGTTCTCAAATTTGGATTGTCAGAAGACTTGAGAAAATACACAAATCATTCAACACTTACCAAAATGCAAATTTTGTATTTTCTCAATGACGTTTGTAATTTGTTTAATATTCCTTCATAATATCGATGTAGCCTCAAGGTCTTTTTACTTTTTCTGAACATGAGCAAGTTTAGTTTTACATCACTTTTAGCAATATTAAGGCGGTGGGTGCCAGGAATGGGCTTCACGCATTGTACCCATGTGGGGAATCGAACTCAGGTCTTCAGCGTGACAAAGTTTAATGTTTTAACCAATAGGCTACCCTAATGCCTCTTTTAGCAATATTTCAGCAATATCACGCAAGGGACATCAGAAATGGGCTTTAATATGACAGTCGTGAGAGCTCATATCAGGATGGTTTCCTAATTATAACATCTCTCATATCCACATTTCCATAATGCTAGCTGCAAAATCACTGACACAATGTTTCCTGTTGCATAAGTCAAACTGAACATTATTCTAAATATATTACCCTTTTCTTGGAGAATTAATCAGCAAATACTTACCATGCAATTGTATATCAATTTAAAGGTTGAACAAGAAAAGCATGAAATGTCAACCATTTTTCCATTTCAACATAGGGATTTAATTGTAGCACTTCTTTCACGATATCTTAATGTTTTCTTGAAAACATAAATAACATTTGATCATAACTAAGAAAAATGTGTACTACATGTGGAAACATTTCTACGAACTTTGGAAAACTGGAGAGAGGAAGCCAAGAAGATGGGTTACTGAGCTTCCAAACCCTTAACAATTGCTTACGGTACCAAGTTGTCAACTGTCTTCAACTGCAGAAGAAGCAAATTTACAGAAATCCTTTACACGCTTATGAAGTCATGTACATCAACAACCAAGTTGTATTTACACTCAATATAAAACTTGAACTGGTTGTTTGAGCTGCCAAATATTTGAACACTTTAGAAATACAAGAAGTTGAAGACTACAGAAATGCATTCTAACTATAAGTTGGGTTTATTTCATTATCAACAATGCAGCATTATTGATGTGTTAAAATTTCACTTTTTCTTTTACATACTTACAATATTGATACAACTTACTCGAAGTGATTAAAACTCAATTAAAAATTTGATGAACTTAAGTAGAGAAATTTTGAACACGGTTTATTTTGATGAGTAACCAAACCATTTCCATGTCAACAAAAATCCTGTTCCATGAAAGATTTGTACAATATTTAAAAGTTTTCTGGCACTCATTTACAATCATATATTTACAAAATGAAACTAATCCCTCTTGAACTTAAAAAAATATTCTTAAAATTGATTCTCTGGCAAAAGGATCTAGTTGAAAATGTTTGCCAATAGACATTTGCCAAAGAACCAAGAATATGACATATTTTTTTCAGCATGCAGTGGTTAAACTGTATAACATATTCCCTTTCCACATTTCAGATAAAACTCCTACAATTTCACACCATTCCTCTTTTTTGAATGTTCCTTAGTTCCAGTTTTGGAAAAACTCTGCACTATCCTAATTCTCAGCAGTACACAAGCACAAATCAAGAAACAGAAGAATCTTAATCTGTCATATAACTTCATTATGAAAACCCATGCTCTTCAAAAATATAATCCCAAGATATTTTAATAAAAGTATATTGATATGTCATCTTGACAATCATCATACTGTAAAACTTTTTCAAGCAATCATCATCAGTGAGAAATACTGATGATATTCTTGAACAATGAAGACAGACGAAAAATCTTAAATGAGACAGCATAGAAATCAGCATAACTTTGAACAGTTGACATAGCTGGTCATCCTTGATGGCCTTGTCAAAGCTCAAAGATTTTATGGAAAATACAACTAGAAAGTTTCATGTTATCAAGTTTATCCTCCCAACTCTTTTCCCCAAGGCTGCCATTCAATCCAGATCGTTTCTCCGTGGCGTTTACTCCACCATGAAGCAAATGAATACTCTGAAAAAGCTGTAATAAACATTTCAAATACATGTACAATGAGACCCAATATACATGAATGGGAACTAACAAAGACTATCTTTAACAAAAGCTTAGCAGAAGCAAGTCTAGTTGCTGCAAGGCTTGCACTATCTAGAAGTGAACATACCAACTAGTGAATATTGTAAACAAAAGACCAGGCTGACTGGCAACTCAAGATGAGGCGTGGTGTTGTCTGTATCGCGATGAGGATGAAAGGTTTCTCAACTGATGTACATTTCGCTCTGATATTTACAATACCCACTGTGTTGTGTGTGTAAACAGTATGTAACAGATGAAAGTCGTAACAAAGATGACAGTGGAATCATTTACAAATGAATATGAAAATGAAAAAAAATGATGCACAAGTTCACGTGTCGCTACCTTGGGAGGTGTACTACAGAGACAGTGTCACTAGGGGCGGTGACGGTGCCGTCGTCCGACATCATCAGCTGGTATTCACATGTACAATGTTTTCTGAAAACATTTAACAAATACACATACACCCAACATGCATTTATAATGCACTTTAGTCGAATTTCAACCGAACAGTACCGTCTCAACTGATGTGACCATTTTTTCAAGTTTAAGTCCATTCCTTAGTTTTCCTTGAACAATAGCTCTCAGCTGGGCTTGAATGACGGCTCACTTTCCTGACAGGTTCCCTGTAGATTCATTATTTCCGAAGTCTTTGACTCCCATTTGGCAGCATATCTTGAGTTAGTATTTGTTGAGAGTAGAAGATGTGCATCAGTACTGACCACTAGTGGGCCATGAGAATTCCCCTTAGCTCTGTCCTTCCTCTTCAGTTTTGATTTTCTTAATAGCTGCACCAGTGATTGTGATGGTGGGTTTGCTGCAAATACAATAACAATGATTATAATATAATTACAGTGAGACCTCGGAGATCCGGACACATTCGTTTTTACGTAAATCGTCCGGATAATTGAATATCCGGTTATCTGGATTTTTGGTTTTCATACACCTCAAGGAAAATCCAAAATATTTATGATCATCAAGCGTTTATTATACATGTATAGACATTCAAAAACAGCATCACAACATAACTGGCTTGAATATCGACACACTGCACTTTTATTGCTTTGACTGAATAAACAACATCGTATCACTTCGCGTGAACAAACAACAGAAGACAACTTTGTCAGTAGAGACGTCAAATTTGCAATTAAACATCACTAGACAAGATTATTTACCTTTTAAGTTATAAGTTGTTTTGCTGGGCATTGTATTATTTGCAGGGATTAAGATTACCGCGTCGTATTTGTCTCTCGCATTACACAAAGCCGGAAATAGCAATCAGCTGTGCACGCGTTACCCGGCGAAAAAGTTCAAACATGCACAATAATATAGCGGGATGAATTCTGGCGCGTCGTCAGTAAAATATAATACAGAATACTATTATTTAACCCAAAGAATTTTATTTACAGTTTTTATGTAAAATACATATAATCAACCCTAAGGTTTACGGACCCTCATGAATGTGGTACGCACATGGAATGGGGTAAAATACGGAGGCCATTTAAATTCACACATTTTTACCGATGATACTGTCAACTAGCAGTCAATGGAAAACGAGGCGGTAATCAGTTAAAGTGATTGTTGAATGGGGTAAAATAAGCAAGCCAGTTTGTTGCTACAATAAATATGATATTTAGAGAAGCTATATTAGACACAAAATATATATATGACACCACGTCTCGTGTCAAAACACGTGGGACTCTCGCACTTCCCTTCACACGGTTAGCGGTAGATCAAAGCTTCGTGCGGATAGGTGAGTCAATTTTGTGTTGATTTAGCCGGTTTGTTTGTAAAATGTACCGTCCGGAAACGGAAACCGAATATCCGTTATAGACAGTCACTTTTATAACGTAAGAGAATGTTTTTTTTCTAAAAATTGACCGGAAGGCGAGGTTTCCAGATATCTGGGGTCCGGGTATCCGAGGTCTCACTGTACAACCTGTACGTCCTCTGTATGCCGATGCGACCCGTGAAGGTCCGGGTTAGAATGTGCCTTCAGTAACCCATGCTTGTCGTATGAGGCGACTAACAGGATAGGGTGGTCAGGCTCGCTGACTTGGTTGACATGTCATCAGTTCCCAATTACGCAGAATGATGCTCATGCTATTGATCACTGGATTGTCTGGTCCAGACTTGATTATTTACAGACCGCCGCCATATAGCTGGAATATTGCTGAGTGCGGCGTGAAACTAAACTCACTCACTGTATGCCGATATCACATCAACAAACCAAGCCTACGATAAACGGTAACTGTCATTGATGCTCAAAGACTTCAGAACAGATTCCATCTGTCAAAGGACATGCATAAAATATTCAAAAGAATTCAGTTAGAATTCAAACAGAATGGAAATGTAATGAAATGCATTACCATGAATCATGTGTTATGTAACATAAGTGTATAACATACATGTAATATGGGTGACATGGCCTTGAAAACATAAACTGGACTGATAATATTCTACCAGTTAAGATATGTTTTGTTGAACAAATTTCCAAAGAACTGCTGAATCTATTTGAGACATATCAGAATAGGTATTTTTCACAATTTACACCCAGTACTGGACTGTCCTGTAACACTGCAACTACAAAGTGTTTGGCTTACCCATCCGAGCTGACTCTCTTCACGGCTATTTTCCCACCTGCCATTGCTGTTTGGGAGGCATCTGTAAAAAGTAAAATCAATTTTAGATAGATCCATAAGTAACACAAAACAACATAATGCCTTTAAGCCGTCTGTCTGTTAGCATTTGCTGGAAGCCTTTTCACATATTTCATCATCATCATCATCATAATCATCACCATCACTACAATCACATCATCACATTATCTACAACAATGAGGCTAGCACATAGATATATTCCTTTGTATTTTTAACATCATCATCATCATCATCATCATCATCATCCACTCACCTTGCAGCCACCTGACTTGCGTAGCTGGGCCATAACCCTTTTCGTTCCTAGCTGCGATACGGAAGATGATGGCTGGTTTGGTGGTGAAGTCTATGTGAGCTGATGCCAGACTGGCCGTGGTGACGACACATGAGGGGTTAGGGCCACAGTAGACTCGCACAAACGCAAGCTGAGCTGGGGCTCCGGGCTTTTGTTCTGCTGCCGCTGCATTTCGGACGGCCAAATAGACAGAATACTCAGTGATTTTTCCGGCAGTGTTTTGAGGTGGTTCCCATGATAAATGTGCTCCCTCCGCACTCTGAAAATAATATTAGCACAAACATGTACAGGGTTCATACAGATAACTAGTCATCAAATTTAAGGCCTCCTTAGGACCTTTTCAAGACCCAATCAACAATTTTAACGCCCTATGGAACCACATATACTGGACAAAATAAGTTAGGGATATTGGTATTTTTATGATTGATATTTTATCAGAGTGGCAATGAATAAAGAGACCTAACTATATTTGTCCAGTATATAAACATAAGCATTTAAAGATACGTGGTTAGTCAAAAGTGAGGCCGACAAAGGGAAGTAACTGTTAGCTACATCACGACGCTGGGAAGGTTTGATCTTGATGGCAATTAATTAACACACATTGTCATTCAAAGTATTTCTTACACTTTTTTTATAGTTTCCTGTAACTTGACAAAGTTTGATACACTGGCAAATAGAGCCCATGTCATTATTTTTGTCTGAGTGAGACGACCAGACATCACAGTGTACAGTAATATACAATATATCCAGAGAAAATTGAGCCACTTCATATATACATTTAAGTGTCCTCACTCCAGTCTTTTGAAACGATTTCATAAGTAACAGTATCTGATTTAGTGGTCACACCACTTCTAATGATTCTAGTAGCAAAACATTATCGGAGAGTGGTCAATTTACTTTCATTTAAGTGGAGATCCGTCTCCACCCCAAAGATGGCTACCCGGTGAAAGGGGAGTAACTCCTACCTTACTGATCTTTATTGCCGAGGGTGCCCCTGGGAAACCTGGCAGACATGTTTTGAAGGCTGAGACTTCACTGAACGGACCTCGGCCACAGGCGTTGATGCCTGCCACACGGAACTTGTAAGCTGTTCCAGGCTGGAGTTCTTGTCGTTTTAACACGCTGTGGTCGGGGACGTTAACAACGTCAATATCCTGAAAGAGAGGGAGAGTTTTCTAAAAAATTGGCGCTACCATTTCCTTGCCTTTGAACATGTAGAATCATGATCAGAATCTTGTCTAAAATACACCATATTTACTATTATGGATCATATCAATAACATGGCTGTATCTGGACTACACAAACAGATGGTCAATAATGCACAATCAAGAGTTTTACAATTCTTTGAACACTTGTAAAAGTGTTTCAAGTTGTTTGGCGCCTTAACCATGGATAATGCACTTCTTAGGCTTTTACGACTTCAGTGAAACCCACAAGTGGGCAGTAAGAATGAAGATAGACACGACAATATTACTGACACAAATAAGCTGAGCTCTACTCCTTTTCAATTATGAAAGAAACCTTCACACTTGGCAGCCATTCTGCCCACTGGATCCCCATTTTAACTAAATGTAGAATCTGCTGAGAAAACCTCCTAGAAACATTGTCAGAACTTACATCTCCATTGCCCTGGGTTCCTTCAGAAGGAAGGTGGTAGTGAGATACAATACGTGCCCTTGATGATTCGACATCATACCACTGGTTTGCATCACGCCAACGGAGTTGTCTTTTCCTGAAACACAAACGCTCATTATTCCCTGCAAGAAACAGTGCATACTCATTTGCTGTTCTACGTGCAAACAGGGGGACACCTAATATGGCAATTCATGCATTGTACCTATGTGGGGAATCAAACCTGGGTCTTTGGTGTGACCGAGTGAGTATGGTTTTACAACGCTTTTAGCTATTTTCCAGAGGGCGGGCACAGAAATGGGCTTCAAATATTGTACCCTGAGTGGAAATGAACCTGGGTCTTCAGCGTGGCGAGTGAACGCTTTAACCACAGGCTACACTACCGCTCCTTTGGTGTGACAAGTGAACACTTTAAACACTAGGCTAACCCACTGCCCCTATGGTGTGACAAGTGAACGCTTGAACCCACCGCACTAAATTAAGTGGAATAAATAGAGTGTTGTTACACCGGTTTGATCAGTACTATCACATCACAGCATGTCAGTTTGATATGGAGGAAAGAGAAAATGGAACTGTACGTACAAGGTAATATTAAAGGCCATCACAGATCTCAAACCAAAAGCGATCCATCAATGAACCATCAAATGAATGTGGAATAACTTGATGCACTCAACTGACCTGTTTAATCTCTGGTTCCGTCTTGACGCCATTTGCCGGCGTCCCTGGCTCCTGTTTCACTACTGCTGCTGCTACAGGCGCCGATGACATCGCTGCTGTCGCTAACGTTGCGAGGGGATCTGTATAGTCATACATCACAATGAATAATGTGTTAAGCATAAAATCAGTTAGGCCCAACCATGTACAAAACTTTACAAATGCATCAGTGAAGAATAAAGGGGGGTAACTCACACGCCGGTATATTGGTGTGTGTGTGTGTGTGTGTGTGTGTGTGTGTGTGTGTGTGTGTGTGTGGTTGGTTAAACAACAATCAACACTCATGATATCGCACTGTGGTTTTTTGTTGGTCTTAAACCAAGACACTTAAGGCCCAAAAAATATATATATACGTTTCCTATTACATGCTTTTTAAAAGTAGGGTAGGTGGGTCAGTCTTCAAAGATACTATATCGTGTAGTGACAATGCCTTGTTGTGAAACATTGAAAGATTTCTATAGCAATCATTATTCATGTTATTTATTTGCAGGTTTTGTCAGTGAGAGCCCATTATGCCAATTCAATGCAATCTATTTTAGCCCTATGTACACTGAAAAACATAAAATATCATACTCAATTTGGATGAAAATGATGTGTTGAAATGCACTCCAGTCATGATTTAGGGTCAGGTGGGTTAAGATAGGGTCGGATTACAGTTTTACCAGAAACAGACATGGTTTTTTTTGCCTAACGGAAACACCAAAACAGATCATTTCAACTGACCCATTGTACTTACCTGACACATCAACACTGAACCACGGCACCTGCTGCTGAACCTGTAAATGTTGAAGATGTGTCCATAGCACTTTCTGACTGAGCCTGGGCGAGGGAGGCCTGGCTTTCGAGGTTTCACTGGAGATGCTACTGTCTTCAGTAGCCGCTGCAGCTGGGTTGTGTCCATGGGTTCACAACAGGCTTCCACGCTACCGACACCTGCACTACTTATAGCACTATTTAACAGAGCAGCGTTCACCATCGGCTGACTAGTTGATTCAACTGCTGGTGTGGGAGAACCTTCCTGCTGAACTGACTGTTCACCTGGATTTCGTCAACACTAGGTTTAGAGTCACCATTATCACCATGACCTTCACCTGGGGCTGTGACCCCTTCCGATGTCCCACTATCACCTTGACCTTCACTGGGCCCACTATCACCTTGAACATGATCACTTCCTTCTGGAGGTGGCGTTCCACATCCTTCTGGTCTGCCACAATCACCTGTTGGAGGTGGCGTCCACATCCTTCAGGTCTGCCACAATCACCTGCTGGAGGTGGTGTTCCACATCCTTCAGGTCTTCCACAATCACCTGCTGGAGGTGGCGTTCCACATCCTTCAGGTCTGCCACAATCACCTGTAGGAGGTGGCGTTCCACATCCTTCAGGTCTTCCACAATCACCTGTAGGAGGTGGCGTTCCCACATCCTTCAGGTCTTCCTAATCACCTGTAGGGAGGTGGCGTTCCACATCCTTCAGGTCTTCCACAATCACCTGGAGGTGGTGTTCCACATCCTTCAGGTCTTCCACAATCACCAGGAGGTGGCGTTCCACATCCTTCAGGTCTTCCACAATCACCGGGAGGTGGTGTTCCACATCCTTCAGGTCTTCCACAATCACCGGGAGGTGGTGTTCCACATCCTTCAGGTCTTCCACAATCACCGGGAGGTGGAGTTCCACATCCTTCAGGTCTTCCACAATCACCGGGAGGTGGAGTTCCACATCCTTCAGGTCTTCCACAATCACCAGGAGGTGGTGTTCCACAACCCTCAGGCCTTCCACAGTCACCAGGAGGTGGTGTTCCACATCCTTCAGGTCTTCCACAATCACCGGGAGGTGGTGTTCCACATCCTTCTGGCCTTCCACAGTCACCAGGAGGCGGTGTTCCACATCCTTCAGGTCTTCCACAATCACCGGGAGGTGGTGTTCCACAGCCTTCAGGTCTTCCACAGTCTCCATTAGGTGGTGGGGTTCCACATCCCTCGGGTCTTCCACAGTCTCCAGGAGGAGGCCCCCACAACCCTCAGGTCTTCCACAGTCACCCCAGCCTGAGTATCTGCTGTAACTACAGGTGTAGCAACTGGAACAGGAACAGTGGTGATCAGGGGACAGCGATGGGTGTGACCTTGGGGCCCACTGGGGTGATGGTGATCTGCATGGGCTGCTTGCCCAGTGTGGTATGTGTGGCGAAGTGGCTGGCGATCTGCCTGGTGGCAGGCCAGTGTTGTAGGAGCGCTCTCAGGGTTTGCTGGGCGATGGAGTGAGATGGTTGAGGTGCCGCCTCCTGTAGATGCTTTGACCATGGGGCTGGAGAGGATGGAGGTGGCAGAAGTGGTTGTGGTGGAGATGTGGGCAGGGACAGCCGTAGTGGACCCTGTCACGCCAGCTTGGGCTGGAAGAAACACGAACATTTATATCTTTTAATGAATACTGTAGGGAGACAAAGGAGTGAGGTTTAAATAAAGAAGTGACTCATCCTTTAGCAATATTCCAGCAATATCATGGCCAGGAACATCGGAAAAAAGCTCCATATATTGTACCTGTTGGGAATTCAACAAAGTTCTTTGGCATGATGTACAAACACTCGACCACTAGGTAACCCCACAACTAATTTCAAGACAAAAGTAAAATAGTGAAGGACTGTCTACACCTCAGTAAACAATACTCCATCTTGATAATGCCCTCTGTATACATACTCAAATCAGTAGTGAGTGACTGAGGTAAGTTTTACGCGGCACTCAGCAATATTCCAGCTATATGGCAGCGGTTTGTAAATAATCCAGTCTGGACCAGACAATCCAGGGATCAACAGCATGAGCATCGATCTACGCAATTGGGATACAATGACATGTGTCAACCCAGTCAGCGAGCCTGACCACCCGATCCCGCTTGACGCCTCTTGCGACAAGCATGGGTTACTGAAGATCAATTCTAACCCGGATCTTCATGGGTTTTCAAATCAGTAACTCCTGGGTAATGGTGACAATCGAGACATGGTCAGCAGATAGTTCTCATTTCATCATCCCTTTGTGAATGCCAGTCACTGGACTATGCATGCAGTCTCTATACTGTCTAAAACAACATACCTGCTGACAGGATGGTGACAACAGGCTTAGTGGCTGGCGATGTTCCCAGTTGATGAGGGAAGAGCAGTGGCTGATGATGGGCTTATTACCTTCAAGAAAAAATGTTTACAATAAATCATTTCTTTGTTGTTTAATGCCACACCCCTGCAATATTCCAGCTATGTGGCGGCAGTCTGTAAATAATAAAGTCTGGACCAGACAATCCAGTGTTCAACAGCATGATCCGATGGCGTGTCAACCATTACCACCAATTAACACATTTATTATTCAAAAACACAATTTCTATTGTAAAACACATGCTAAAAGCACCAGCCAACTAAGGATTTCTTCTGGAAATGCTCAGATTACAATTCATAGCCTCTAGTCTACAGCAGGAAGCTAAAAAAGGTTGCCATTTGAAATTCCTTGGAATTAATTATATTAGGCACATGTTTAAAAGTATCATGATTTTTCCCAGATGGGAGTCAACCAAACAAAAGTACAAAAATCTCTACTTTATGGAAAAAGTATAAACAAAATATAACCTGTTACATTTGACTACTTTTAAATGTCATTGTGTGTTCATAGTTTCCAAGCTGACTGTTCCTAAGCCTCACCAATGATGGTCTGTGCTGTAGATGAAGCTTGAGAGCCTTGGGGCTGACAACGATGAACTGAGTGATTTCCCTGGCAGCCTTAGTTTGGGTACTGATGTGATTATTTTGGTAGGTGTGTTGAGGTATTCCTGCCCCCAAACTGCAAGCGATGTGACGATTGTTTTGGGTGCCTGCATGAAGTTGTCGTGGACGCCGGCCCTCGAAGCTTTGGCCATGAGATCATGGAGGAAGGATGGTCTTGATTATTGTGGTCACATTCTTGGTGGAAGACTGGAAACAAGCAGTTTCATATAGAGAGCACTCTAACAGATTTGGATCATACTCAACAACTATCAGTACTGGAAATTTAAGTTTGACATAAAATTGTCATAAAATCTATAACAGGTCATAACAGTCATAGTTCCATTAAAGAAAGAGGATGACTTGATTTGGGTATTGTTTGTTTTTTAATGCTGCACTCAGCAATAATCATCTGTATGGCAGTGGTCTGTAAATAATCAAGTCTGGACCAAAAATCCAGCGATCAACATCGCTGAGCATTGAACTACATAATTGGGATACAATAACATATATATGTCAACCAAGTCAGGGTTGACCACCAATCCCGCTAGGGTGTCTCTTACCAGCTATGGTAAGCTGAAGACACAATCTACCCCTATTTTCATGGATACTCAAATTTAAGAATGGTGTCAATGCTGATATACTGCAAATAGCGTTGTACCTCAAGTCAGGATTGGGGCATGGGCATTTGTTAATAGTTTTCTAGAACCCGAAACCATTAGCCTGAATAGAGTTGTGGAAATGACCTTTAGAAATGACACAGTAGGCTGGACACTGCTGATTCCAAGGATTGTGGAGGGGGGTCTGGCCTGACTGGTTGCTGGTGAAGATGGCAGTGGGTTTGGTGGAGGCCAGCCTGGGTCGTCACCAGCTTCACTGCATTGTTGCCCCTTGTGGCAGGCCTCCACTTTGTCTGTGAGGGTGGAATCCATTTAATTGTATGACAATGTTTCGCCTATATATATTTCATAGTTATATTTCATGAAATAAGACCTGAGAGTTAAAAGCTGAACTACTGAAGACGTAATGAAAAGGGATGTTTTGTTTGTTGTTAAATGCTGTGCTCAGCAATATTCCAAAGCTATATGATGGTGACCAGTACATAATAAAGTGTGGACCATACAATCCCATGATTGACATCTAAACGTTAATATAAGGAATATGGCAATGTCCCTCCCGTTTAAGAATGGAATATTTATAACAGATTTACTACATTATATTTTTGGGTCAAATACAAGATGTCTGAAAAGACTGGTGTCTGCATAATCACCCAATGTTGGCTGTCGACATAATTGGAAGACATTGGGTGCAATGTTTTATGAGATATCGAGGTTAACAAGAGTTTCAAAAGTGGTCAAAGTGTCATGGTGGCCTTGGAAATAAGGTCAAGGTCACCAAAATCAACTGGTGTCTGGGTAGTCTGCCAATGTAGGCTGTCACCAAATTTGAAGACATTGGGTACAACAGTTCATGAGATATCGCGTTAACAAGAATAAGGATGTACGCACGCATGAATACATAGTCCCCCGTTTCGCGTTGCGGCAGGGGGCAAAATTAATGACATGCACCAATCTATCAAAGGGACCGTATCATCTGATCTCAATGGGCCAAGTAGTTGAAACATTGTACTAAAAATCAGCATTGATTTAAATATATCATTCTGAAGCCAGTATTGTTCCAGCAAAAGCATGGCGGATAAGGATGTTTTTCACCATTTCAGGATCTAACGACATAACTTTAAAAATCATGGAAAAAAAAATACATTGTTTTTGTCTTTCCTCAAATATAATTCTTTGCCTCTCCACGGACTTGTGACGGTATACAAAACGAAAATATCATTGTGATAAACCCATCTCTATTCTTCTATGACTATCATCTCATGTTTGGAATATACGCACACTATAAAGGCCGCCTACTTTTACAGTGGCAACAGTCATCCCTTGTGTTGTGCTGACCAGGGAGTGACAATATCGTGGCTGGCTGCCGACATTGATCCGCCCTTGTGGACAGATGATGATCTGTTTGCCTGCCTATATTGGTGGTTCCCTGCTGTCTTCAAGATGGCAGATCCTGGAACAGACACGCTGGATGGTCTGTGTTCCTGGTGATAATGTTGTTCCTGAACCAAAGTAAAATACCATTGTACAACAATGTCCACTGACCAGGAGAATTGGTTATTAGGGTGATGCTGCCATAAAATTGTAGATCTGTGTGTGTTATGTGTTTCCACTTCTACTAGTTCAACAAAGGCTATTTCAGGTTGTATGTAAGCCAGCGGATACTTAAATGGATCAACGAGTCATGGTCTTACCTCCCCTATAAGGTCCCTTTACACTGATCTGCAACTGTTCTGCCTTACTTTGTGCATTCTAAAACTGAGCAGGATCAAAACTTCAAGAAAAACATGTTTCTGTGTAACTGACTGCTCGGCGCATCATTCTGCTGACCAAAATGCATGTTTCTGGCATTTTCGTGGGCGATCTTCGAAAGTGTCCTGTGCATCCTTTGAGCAACACTTCTGCCCTCTTTCTGACATGTTCAAATGTCCTTTGTACAACCAAACTCCTCAGTGACCGCTCGCGCGTTTATTGAATATGTTCAATATAGTTGCCGCCACCATGGCGCTTCTGTGCCCGACCATGGCGATGTCTGTGTGCCTTCTCTGTCACGACCCTAATAAGTCATTTTGCCTTCATTGAGTGTTCTACATATTTTAGAATGCAAAAGAAGGCAGAAACGTCGCCGATCCTGTGTAAAGGGTATAATGCCGCAGGCCAGGCAGGGTAACAAGAATGAGTGAGTGAGTTTAGTTTCGCAGCAGCTTTAGCTATATTCCAGCAATATCGGCGGGGACAGCAGAAATGGCCGCTAACACAATGTACCCTTACCATGTGGGAATCGAACCGGGTTTTTCGGAGTGACTAGCAAATGCTTTAAACCACAAGGCTACCCCACCGCCCCCAAGGTTACAAGAAGTCCCTTTGGTAGGATACGGTTCGAATCGTGGTATAAATCTGTGTCTGTTTTGTTATTGCCTACATGAATTTTGTTGTTGGATTTATGATTACAATCAATTATTGACCAATTACTGCACTTCAATTATCATTCTGCATAACATGTGCGATAACCAGCAATATCTACACATATACCAACAAAATACTGGAATTGAAAACTCTGCTCACCTTGGAGTTTCCCTTGCGCTTTGACCCTGAGGGTGTGACAATGGTTGGTGTGACAACCTTGATTCCGGGTTTATGGGCGGTGGTATGGTAGCCGGTAGTGCCGGTATCTTCTGTTGAAATGCTGCTGCTGCAGCAAGTGCAACAATACCAGTCATCTGACCCCAGCTCCCTGCTGTTGAAGAACAAACATATTTCACTTAGGCTGAACATCATATTTCGTCAATAATTGATGGGGATAAAATTCGAATATAAGACTTTTAAAGTGTTTGCCTTATCTTGTACTTCAAAGAGTGTACATTAACAGTGTGTTTCAGTGACTTTTCCTTAAGCAACTCTGTCTTACATTTTGCTTATGCATCTTTGTCCTATTGTCTTTTGTTGCATTTAAAAACACACAACCAAAAACAGGACTACAATTTATACCAGTGTGCCTGCAATCTCCTTTTAAAACAGCATACATATTTGTCTTCTAGTCCATTGGTTAAAAATGTGTCCCATCAAAAATTATCCTTTATGAAAAATTGGTTCACTGGCAAATTTACAAAGTTTCAAAATGTTGTTATGATTATTTGGAAAGGCACCCCAAAATGCAGGATTATCAAATCACAATTATCCAAGAGAACAACTTCAGAGATGCTGCAGATTAATTTCAATGCACACAACAAATTACATACACTGGTTACTATTGTTTTATGTCCCTGCCCCAAGCTGATGATCTGGGAGTGGCTGCCCTCATTCCCTGGAGACACTGGTTATTGATTGTGACGAATACCTTGACCCTTTGGCGCAGCCAGTCACTCAAAAAAAATCGAAAGTCCTCTCAAACAATATGCAAAATGACCAGGAAAGTTAAAAACACGACACTGACTTTCTAAGTGTCAATAAAAATTAATCAAAACACAATTTAAACCACAAAAAAGAGAGAAGGAAAAAGTGAAATAGAAAAAGAATGATATCATTATCAAATGTTTGAGAAAACAATACCAGGGATATTTTCAGACTATGCTTGTGAGATTAAAATGAAAATCACTTTAAGGTAACCTAACCTTTAATTTCAAAATTACTCAGTCCAGTTATTTGAGACAAGCAAAATACATGCCAGAAAACTAAAAGCTAAATCAACAAATTGAACAATCACAAATATCTACCTTCATGATGCAACAAATTAGAAACTCATGCCTGTAAACTAAACTGCAAATTAACACAACTAAGCAGTTAACATTCATGTCTTTAACACGGACAAACTGAACATACACAAAACAGAAAACAGGAAACAATGGAACAGATGACAGACAGAGTCTCAACAGGCTGGACATGGACAAAGACAACCCATTCCTGTGAATGTTCACGATTCAGAATTCTTCTAATTATTTGAAATGTTTTAAAAACATTTGAATATAAACCAATATGCACACAAAGCAATGAGAAGCATCAAAAATCATCCTATTATTTTTACTCAAGATGGAAGCATGCTTTTTTGAGTTATATGTAAAAAATAAAACTGCAAATTTTATTACAAAAGTGTTTGAGTCGAAGCATCAAAGTACTTTAATTTTATTGGGACAGAACTAGTCCTTTCATAGTATTTTTCCCATGATGCAGTGACAAAGTGTCTTTGTTTTGGACGAATTGTTCTCTTGCATTTTGTGATGAAAATATAAAATGCTATATAAAAGGAAATAAATGTGTTGATCATATTGATAAATGTTTACACGTGGATGGTTTCATGCAAAATAGTTCAAAACACTTGACCAAAATATATTTTTGCTTTGTTGTTATTGCTATGAATGAGGTGAGCCATGAAGGCAGCGTTGCTAACTATATACCTCTGATTGTCTGGCTGGAAGTGAGAGTCTGGCGAGCCAAGATTAAGCATCCCGAGAGCCTCACTGCTGGTACCAGTGGGCTGAGGAAGGAGGCAGTTAGAGATAGATCAGAGAGGCATTGAATGAAACAGTAGACAGATAGAGGGGGCATAATAGAGACAAGATAAATAGGGCTGACAGTTCGTAGGGATGATAGATCCATTACAGAAATTTGACAGTAGATTGGGGCAGCATAGGATGAAAGTATAGATAGATCAGAGAGGGCACATAGGATGACTGATAGAATAAACAAAGGCACATAGGGGTTGACAGTAGGTAAATCTGGGGGCATGTGTAGGATGACTTCCAGTAGATAAATCAGGGGCAATAAGGACTAGACATGAGTAAGATAAGATCCTCAGGGGCACATAGGGATGACTAATAGATAAGATCAGCAAGAATGTAGGGATGACAGTAGATAAATCAGGGGGCATCTAGGAATGACAGTAGGTAGATAATCAGGGGCCATAGGACATGCACTGTAGATAAATCCAGGGGCATGTAGGGATGACAGTAGATAAATCAGGGGGCATGTAGGATGACAGTAGGACAAATCAGGGGCATGTAGGGATGACTGTAGATAGAAATCAGGGGCATAGGGATGACTGTATATAGATAAATCAAGGAGCACATAAGGTTGACAGTGGAGTAAATCAGGGCATGTAGGGACGACGGTTAGACAATCAAGGGCACATAAGGTTGACAGATAGAATAAATCCAAGGGGACATGTAGGGATGACAGTAGATATGCACGTCATCAGGAGCACATAAAGGTTGAGCGAAATTAGATAAATCAGAGGGCATGTTAGGGATGACAGTAAACATCAAATCAGGGGCATGGGATGACAGTAGATAAATCAGGGGTCATGCTTGGGGATGACTGTAGATAAATCAAGGGGCATGTAGGGGATGACTAGCACTAAGATAAATCTAAGGGGCATGTAGGGATGACAGTAGATTGAAATCACTTAAGGGGCATGTGCAGGATGACTGTAGATAAATCAGGGAGCATGTAGGGATGACTGTAGATAAATCAGGGGCATGTGGGATGACTGTAAGATAAATCAGGGGAGGCATGTAAAGGGATGACTGGCAGCAAAGATAAAATCAGGGGCACATAAGGTTGACAGTAGATAAATCAGGGGCATATTGGGGATGACGGTAGATAAATCAGGGGCATGTAGGATTATTAACTAGATAATAATCAGGGCATGTAGGGATGACAGTTAAGAATAATCCCAGGGAACCTTAAGGATGACAGTAGGTAAATCAGAGGCATGTAGGGATGAAGCCAATAGATCAAAATCCAGGGGCATAGTAAAGGGATGACCAGTAGATAAATCAGGGGAGCATGTAAAGGGGATGACTGTAGAGTAAAATCAAGGGGCATACTTAGGATGGCTATGGAGATAAAATCAGAGGGCCGCCATAGGGATGGCTGTGCGTCAAATCAAGGGGCATGCTAGGGATGGCTGCCAAGATAAATCAAGGGGGCACATAAGGATGGTGGACGGAATCAGGAACGTGGGAGACAGGACGGATGGGGACGCGTGGACGGTGGGCTTCAAATCCGGTGCCGGGAACGGCTGGGCTGAAATAAGGGGAAGCACTGGACGGGCTGATCGGGGCGCCGGGACGTGCAAACAGGATGATCCGGGACGGACGACGATGGATCGATCAGGAAAGCGTGGGACGACGGTGGAATGGGCTCAGGGGTGATTCATGTTGGCTGCCGAATAGAATTCAAGAGGGAGCACATAAGGGAGTGACAAAATAGCAATAGAGTGATAAGATAAAAGTAAAACCGCCAGGCTTTGCTTTGAAGGGGACATAACCAGGTTCGTGATCAGCGACGACCGGTCAGACCGTACTCGCGGTATGCGCTCATTAATTAACGGGAACGGGGCGTTATTGCGCCGCCAATAATCAAGATAAAGTAACATGGGACCATGGACGATTTGGGGCGGAACCGGCATCGCTGTTTGAATGGACCGAACGTGAAAGTTCGCGGTGGCGGTCACGATTCCGGACGGGATGGCGGATGGATCGACAGGACGAAGAACAAATGAACTCGCGGACTGGAGGACAAAGAAGGCATGGACGAGACGGAACCGTGGTACCGAACTCAATGGAGGTTAACGGGAACCAATGATCGAATTCTGGAACCGGGCGTGGGACTGAGTTTGGAACGACCGTCAAGACGGTTGAAGACTCCGAGCAGTCGCGTTCTATGGACAGGCAGGATGGTGGGTTGAATATGGATCGGGACTGGCGCTGAGAAAAGGAAGCTTCGACGTGCTGGAAACTTCCATGGGATGGGCATGGATCGCTGCGGGATGTGGGAAGACGACGAATGCGATTCCATGGACAAAAGAAAGAGCATGGGATCGACAGGACGAAGTACTAAATGCAGCGGGAAAAAGAACTGCGGTGCCAGCGGACGAGACGTGGGATGAACTGGGACAGTATCGTCAACAGGATTTAACCGAGAAAAAGAAGCTAATAAATCCCTGGAATTCCCGCAGAACCATGAAGGCGCCGGGAACGAAGCGCGGCAGTACTCGATGGCGGACGGCAGGAAGAAATAGTCAGTTCGTGGATGGGACAGGGCAGGACAGATGCCAGTTCGTTTGGGACGAAAGAACTCTGGCGGGGACTGAAAGACCGGACAGAACATGGGGCGAACCAGACAGGACGCAGCAGGGAAGGACATGTTATGGTTCGTGAACGCCGGATGTTTCGGACCGTGGTATGTGGGACGCTGAAAGACCGAAAACAGGCTCACTGGTTCAAAACGGAACAAGGCAGGATAAGGCGGGGTTGTCAGATCAGGCAGGGTTTTGACGAGAAAACCGTCGCAAGATGCATGAACGAATGCGAAACAGGGGCAACCGGACATCAGGCAGGGCTGGGAAAACTTCGGACTAGTGAACCGAGAATAGGATGAACGGGGACGAAACGCAGGAATGAACAAACAGGATGGTAAAAGTTTAACAGGAAAAAGGGACAAGAGAAGAGGACTACTTAATGTTCCATCCAACATCTCTGTTGATATTTTAAGTAGGGAGTTTTCATATTCAAGTTTCTTAACTTGGCGGTGGGATAGGATTCCAGTTTTTAAAAGCCTACATTAGGTATCCTGCCATCAACGGGAAACTACATCTGCCTGAAACATTCAAATTCCACTTCCAGACAAGGGTATT